AAAGGATTAAACCTATAAAAGATAAGTAATTTAAATCTATAAATAATAAATAATAAGAGAAAAAAAGGCTCTTAGTAATTCCTAAGATCTACTAAAAATATAACAAACTATTTACTAAAGAACTAGAAATAGAATTACTGAAGTATAGTCTATATAACTATAAGATTAAGCTATTACTAAGGACGTAACTAAAACTTAAGCTAATCTATAACCTTAACCTAACTAAATAAGAAGCTTTTAATAAATAGCTAAATAATAACCTTAAAAAAGGTTATATTAGACTATTAGACTTACTAATAGGATACCTTATCTTATTTATACTAAAAGAAAATAGTAAATTATAACTATATATTAACTATTAAAAACTTAATAATATTACTAAGAAGAACGCCTACCTACTTCTACTTATCTTAAAACTATAAGATTTACTATATAAAGTAAAATAGTTTACTACACTTAATCTTAAAGAAGCTTATAACCTAATTAGAATTAAAAAAGAAAATAAATAGAAAATAGTATTCTAAATATAGTAAGGCCTATTTAAAACACTAGTTATACCTTTTAGACTTACTAATACACTAGCTACCTTTTAAACTATAATTAACTATATCCTATAAAAAAAGCTAGATATATTTATTATTTACTACCTTAATAATATCCTTATCTTTTTAAAGAACCTTAAAGAATATAAAGAATATATATATTAGGTACTTAGTAAACTTTAAGAAGCTAAGCTACTTATTAAACTAAAAAAAAGTAAATTTTACTAGTAGAAAGTTAACTACCTAGGATTTACTATTACCTTAAGGGAAATCTAGATATAAGATAAAAAAATATAAGTAGTTAGGGACTAGCCTACCTCTAAGAACGTTAAGGACGTATAATTATTCCTAAGATTTATTAAGTTCTACTAATAATTCCTTAAAGAATATATAGATAAAATAAGACTACTTTAGTAACTTATATATAAGAACACTAAGTTTATATAGATAAAGAAATATAAAGAAGTATTTTATAAAATTAAGACCTTAGTCTCTTTAGAACTAGTTACTAAGATCTCTAACCTAGATAAACTATTTAAAGTTAAAACTAACGCTTTAGACTTTACTATAGGTAGATAACTAGGATAATAAGATAAAAAAAGAAGACTATACCTATATATATTCTACTTAAAAGCCTTTTATAAACCTAAATTAAATTACTAGATCTATAATAAAGAACTAATAGTAATTATTAAAGTATTTTAAGAGTAAAGACTATATCTATCTAGCACTAAGCACTAAGTTATTATATATACTAACTATAAGAACCTTTCTTATTTTACTACCTTAAAGGTTCTTAATAAATAATAAATTAGATAGTTAGAATTACTATTAGAATATAACTTTAAGATTATTTACTATAAAGGGATAAAAAACAGTAAGGCAGACGCCCTAAGTAGAAAAACAGACTATAAAGTTCTAGTCCTAGAGGAAACATAGGTTATTTTTAAATATAATAATAATAGTAATATTATACTAGCCTAGAAACTTATTATAATTAGTAGATATAGTAGTACTAGTATAACTAGAAGAATAACGCCTAAATAGATCTATAAGATATATAGTACTAAGGTATATAGACACTAAGGAATTATAAAAATATTTAAATAAATTAGATAATATTATAATAAGAAAGTTATATATAAAGAAGTAGCTTTAGTAATTAAAGACTATAATATATATAAGAAAAGTAAAAATCGTCCTTATAAGCTATATAAGTAAATTTAACTACTACTAGTACTACTAAAAGTATAGCACTTAATTTCTTTAGACTTTATTATTAAACTACTAAAGTTAAGAGAACCTCTTATAAAGACGTACTATAATAGTATTCTAGTAATTATTAACTAACTTATAAAGTATACCTACTTTATACTATACCTAAAGTTAAGTATAGTAGAAGACCTAGTGTATACCTTCTTAAAATATATTATTAGTAACTATAGTTTACTAAAAGAAATTATCTTTAATAAAGATAAGCTATTTACCTTAAAGTTTTAGAAATCCCTAATTTTATAACTTAGTATAGACTATAAACTATTTACTATATTTTACTTATAAACTAATAAATAAATAAAAAAGATTAACTAAATACTTAAATAGTATTTATAATATTATATTAACTATAACTAAAATAATTAAGTATTACTACTACCTATAGCCTAATTTACTTATAATAATACTATTAAAGAAAGCACTTAGAACTTACTATTTTACTTAAACTATAAATTTTAGCTAACTGCCTATAGAGAGCCTAGAGAAGGCCTATAAGTATTAAAAGCTATAGCTAATATTAATAAAATAAGAGACCTCTAAAGTAAAGTAGCCTTAGACTTAGAATTTATTAGGATATAAATAAAGAAATATACTAACACTTTAAGGATTAAGGGACTAACTTTTAAAGAGGGAGATAGCGTATACCTCTTATAATAAAATATTAAGATAAAATAACTAAGTAATAAACTTAACTATAAGAAACTTAGACTATTTAAAATTCTTAAGAGAATCTTAAACGTTAATTATAAACTTAACTTACCTAATATAATAAAAGTTTACTTAGTTTTTTATATTATACTACTAAAGCTAGTACTATAAAGGTTAAATACTAATAACTATATTATTATTAAACCTTATAAACTAAAGTATAAAGTTAAATAGATTATTAACTAATAATATAAGAATAAAAAGAAATAGTACTTAGTTAAGTAAAAAAATTATAGATATAAAGATAACTTATAGGAACTAGTTAAGAACCTTTAATATTCTTAATAACTTTTATAGGTATACTAAAGTTAAAACTTACTAAATCTAGATTACCTTATATAGCACTTTAGTTAACTATACTAAAGGCACTACTAGACTATACTTTATAAATAATAGTAGATTCTATTAGAACCCCCTTAGACTTCTTAAGAAGAGTATCTAGGATACTTTAACCTTTTTTAAACACTATTCTTTTTACCTACTAAAGATAATCTAACTTTACTAAAGACTTATCTATTTTAGCTTATACTCTTTATAGCGCCTTAGTACGTTTTTAAAGAAGCTATTTAGCCTTTTTTTTTATAATCTAATTAATTAGACTTAGTTAGAAAATAATTTACTATTACTTATTAAAATAAAAAAAACTAATAAGGAAAAAAGCCTTATACTTATAAATAGTATTTATAGTTATATTATATAAATAACTATAATAAGTATACTTATAACACTTTAACTTTTTTATAAGTATCTTATAATAATAACCTACTAACTAATAAAATAAATAAGGTATAATATTAAAACTAAATTCTTTTATTTTTAATATAAGCTTTAGATAACGCTATATAAAAGAAGCTTTTTAATAATTCTTTTTACTAGATATAGTATTAGTATAAAAAATTAAGGATTAAGATTAATAACTCCTTAACTTAGGAGATATAACCTACTTATATAGGTCTTAAGGATAAGACCTTTAGAGGGGAGACCTAATATTATAACCTAATAAGCTATAGGCTATATTACATTACCTAATAGGCAGATAATAAGTAGTAGTAGTATTTATATAAATAAAAGATAAGAGATAAATAGATAACTCCTTAGAAATAAAAGAACTATAGTATAGGTTATATAAAGATAAAGAAGTAATTATATAATAAGGTAATTACTATTAATTATAAAAGTAAGCGCTTACTAGTATTTACTAAGCGCTTACCTTATATAAGAATAGTAATTACTTATAACTATTAGTTAATAGGACTATTTAAGGAACAGCTAGGACTTATATATAAGATAGACTTAGATACACTTAAGGACAGACTTCTATAGCTCTTTAGTAATTAACTTTATAATATATTCTCTAAATACCTTTTAGTATCTAACCTTAGTAATTTAATTAATAAAGAGCTATATAAGCTACTTTTATAACTATTAACTATATAACTAATTACTAAGTAATTAACAGACTAATAAGATAATAATTACTATTACTAAGTATCTCCCTCTGCTTACTATTAGTAGAAACCCTACTGCTTAGAAACTAGCTATAATATTAGTGTAGTAGTTAACTACTATCTAGTAATATCCTTTAGTTTATATCTATTATAAAGTCTACTAAAGGTTATTAATTAGGGTGTTTACTATATATCTATAACTATTATTAAGTGCTATAATCTTACTTAGCTTATCCTTTAGGTTCCCCTAAGTTATATTTATTATTAGTCTATATAGCGACACGTCTATACCTAGCTTCTTCTTAAGCGTCTAAGTTATCTAGGTAAAGTCCTTTAGTAGTAATACGTCTGTAGTGACTATAGCTAGGCTTAAAGGGTCTATAAACCTCTTACGCTTAGTTAGTAAACCTTTACCTATACTTAAGCTTAAGATAGTAAACATAGCTGCCGCTAGTAGTTAAAGGCCTGGCTGTGGCGTTGCTAGCAGCGGCAAGGCCAGTAAGGCTGGCCCATCAGGGGCCGGCATAGCCTTAAGGTGGCTTACGTAAGTAATATAGGTGTTAAGAAAATAGGTGGAGTGCACGCTTGGAGACTAACAGCTCCAAAACGTGACGGGTAAAAAGGAGGGAAGGTTGACCACTACGACGATGTCCACTTCTTCCGTAGTGCAGATTGAATTTTTCAACATCCCCGGCTGTGTGTTCTACTGGATTATGATTTCTCGTTCACAAGTATGTGCCATTGATCCCGAGAAGGTCGCAGGTTCGAGCCCTGCCACGGTCATAGCGATTCATTTTTGCAATTGTACCGAGTTCCCAGACCTTTGTAGCATTGCATCACCATATTGATATTGTGCGTGTTTATTGCTTGGTTTGCTGTAGAACCTCATGTAGACGTCTTGAGTCTGTGTATGGAGGGCGCTTCCGATGATAACTTTTACCGCCATCCGCTGTACAACCAACCTAAAGCCGCATAGGACCTTCAATGGACAATCTGAATCTTTTTATCGTAGCCAACATTCGGCACCTTATGATTTGTTTTCTAACCCTAACTTTTGTCGCTGTTCCCTCATTCTCAGGGTGCAGTCTGTGTTCAACGGTACATCCACGCCGTCGACTGTTTCCATCATTGCGGCCACAATCCGTTCTGCAGGGTTGCAATCCAAATGCTTTTCGTAGCAGGTCATATATGAAAGCACTCGCTTAAGAGATTTTAGCAGGTCCATGATGCTCTCGTCTGATCTGATCTCAACCTCTGTTGCTCTGGACCCTCGGACGTATATCAGTCCCGCAAACACACTTCCGAGAACGATATAATCGCATTTCTTGTCTCTGGTAACCGGGATGTCAGAAATACCGACACACAGCCATTTGCCCTCTATTAGCCTGTCGACTAGATGATTCAGGTGTGATGGCAGGTCCAAGGCCAGCTGGCTTCGTTTTGTACGGATGGTTTCTGAAAAAAAGGCGTTAGATCAAATCCAATCGCAAACTGCATGTATCTCCACTTACCAGATATCAAAGGCGAGCCAAGAAAGTCGTGAGTGTAGTCGTCCAAGCGAACACCATCAGCTGTCATCAGGTGGCCCTCCTCGTCGGCGACACAAGTAAGTGTGATTTTGGCAATCATTTTTTGAAAGAGCCGCTCATCGCCCAGTGTCCAAGCTATGCACGCAAGCATCCCAAGGTCTCTTCCGCTCCGACTGGTTTCCGCATTTTTCAACGCGCCATACCACTGCGCGATCCAAGGTTGCAGAACCTCCTCCATTTCGTATAGGCTTGCGAGACATAAAGTGTTGTAGATCTCGGTGACCGTAGCATCCCTTGGTACCTGATGGAACTTGGAATGGATGATGTTGAGAAGGATGATGAGTCCAGATGACTTGTCATACTGACAAGCGTAGAGCGATGGAGTGCACGCCCACCATTCCCCATCGTGCGTTATGGTCTCGGAAGACATCTCGTAGAGCGACCTTTTCCAAAAAGAGGATGAGCGCCGTAGTGTGTTGGAGCAAACGCGGAATGATAGAGTGTCGCCAGACGAAGGGTCGGCTCCGGTGCGCAGTAGCAAGTCCCCGTTGGGGTCTATCTTGATCTCATCCTCGTCTGGCAGAGTATCATCCGACGGTGTTTGAACCCATTCAGTCTCCGTGTCGCTGTCGTACTCAGCAACCACATCAGCCGCTGGACGAAGGGCTAGGTTCTTGAGCGCCATGACTTTGATGCTTCAATCATTCAATTTTGGGTGGTAAACGAGGAACATGGCCAGAGAATAAAGAATCTTTGTGATGATGGCGGGCTGTTCAGTGATGTCGTTCGAGACCGGCACCGCCCGCCAAGCGCGTCAGCACGGAGGTCACGGGGCGTCTTAGGATGCCATGTCGTGTTACATGGTTGAGTTTACCGGATCGTAAACTCTGTGTTGCGTGAACACTGTGCAGATGAGGGGACAAGAAGCGCACGGAAGTGCCCGTTTTACGTAACGATACAGGCTCAACCATGGATATTTTGGCCTGATAGGTTGACGGTCCTTGGCATCTCGTACATGGAATCGACGACGAGCAAGGTTGACTGCATCATTTCCATAAAACCCCCAGGAAAGCTGTAACCACCCAACCGGGAAGGACCCGGGCTCCGGTGGTCAGGCGGGATGGACCGTAGGGCTTGGCCTTGTTCAGGTAAGAGGCCAAAGCTTTGCCGCATACGTAGTTGGCCGTGGTATGTGCATCGTAAGTTGAGACTCATTGTGCGGAGAGAAGTTGGGTCCGGGCACAAGAGTAGGTTTTATGAACTGTTTGACTTTCACAGCACCGGCTACATGTTGAGAGCTGCTTAGCTAATATTTGTTGGGTTCACAGATGCTAGTAACTACCTTTTAAACAAAGCAGCATGCAAATGTGGTATTGAAAACTGGAACGGGGAGTTTAGTGATCTGATGAGGCACAACTGGCCTCTTTAAAATGAACAAGATGTCTAAGTTGCTGATCAAGCCTCATTTGAATGTCGAGTTGTCACAATTGGTTGTTCAAACGCGAAGAAAGGGTACAGTGACATGTACTAAGTCTGGGCTCGCCACACAATGTGGCATCTATTTTTTTTACCAAATTACTTATTTCAAAAAAAAAAACAAAAAGCATGCAGCAAGGCTTCTGGGCCGCTGAAACCATTCCACACATGATGTCCGCAAATCTGACATATTTGGAGGGGAGACACGATGATATAGGACTTGCTCTCACGAATAAGCTGTTTTCGTAGTCTCTCATTTTGATCCTCATCCGATCATCACGAGTCTGCGCCCCGCATCATTCCTAACACAGCAAAAGGCACTCGAGACTCCTCTGCCGACCTCTTCGTATCTAACGCTGTGTTATTTCATTATAGCTGGCGAGATCTGCAGCCCCTCCCCCTCCCCCGCAGTACACTTGAAACCTGGGGCGATTGGTTGCGGACCAGTCAGCTTGCCGCCAGTGCACGTAGCAAAATGAGTCTCATCCGGCAAACAGATGAGGTAGCCCTCGGTACAAGTACCGGGGAGTGGCTCGGGTACACTCGGCGATAAAGTTGTAGTAGATGTCGGTCTAGCGGCGGTCGTGTTTGTGAGGACTGATGTGGCAATGATGGTAGCAGTTACAGTGATTGTGACCTCAGTTGTTACAGTCGTAGTAATCGGCGCAGGGCCAAATTTGGTTGAGACTGCGGTGTCGGTGGGAATCGTAGGCTGCATAGGATGCCTCTCAGATGAAGTAGTTGTCCCAGCGACAACAGACGAGGCAATAGAAACAATAGAGCCCTTTGTTGTCGAACTTGAGGCAGCCGTTCCAACCGTGCTAGAAGTAACGCTACCCCCAAAAGGCGGTTCTACTGATGATCCTGCTCGAGGGTTCCCATCACAAGGCTGCTTAAACAGATTGTTCTTTCCCTCGGGGTGGTCGACATAAATGCCAGAATTGGGGAACGCAATGGGAATCTGCGCGTTCAAGGCCTCTCCGGTGGTACAGCCACCGGAGACATCACCCATGTTCGCCATGAAAAGCTCGGGGAATTGTTCGCGCCTGGCCAACGACTTTCGGCGGCCGGCAAAATCATCACGCTTTTTTCTCATGCCGGTAATAATAACAGGAGCACAGTTCATGTAGTACTTGGGCTGGCCGCCAACCCTAGCGAGCCAGATCCAAGCAAAAACATAGTCGCCCGGGATGATACTGTTAGGGATCGTGAAAGGGTACTTATCTTTGTTCGGGCCCTCGAGGTTACCCTTCTGGTTGCGAGCCGGACATCCGCCTTCGATAGAGTGGATGACCATCCATTTTGAGTCTTTCGTTGGCTTTGCATCGGCGCTAAGAGCAAATTGGCAGCTACCGCCCCCATGTACAGCCTGCCCCTTGAAAATTTCTTCGAAAGTCTCCCCGATGGCCATGAGCGTGGGAGGTCCGTCAATCTCGTATGTAGCCCCAGCATGTGGCATTTTACAAGGGAAGTCGTCGCCTGTGCTAGAGATAGGGTTAGTAGGACCGTCAGCGGCAAATTTGAAGGGCTTTGGGTTCTCAAGAACGACGTGTGCCAGGACTTCTGATGCCAGCATCGAGAAGAGGATGAATACTTGATACATGCTAGAAGGCGTGTTGTTTATTGGAGGTTAGAGAAATCGGCAAGAGGGAGGATCGTTTTGTGACACAAGTCGCCTTTCACAAGACACAATGAGCCGTAGAGCTCTATTGGGGAAGTATTCCTTCGGAGCCTGAGTCTTCTAATAGTGCCAATGAGCTGCGAGATATGCGAGAAATCGCTAGCTATTTATGGCTACTCGCGATCGTTCCTGACGTGCATTTATGCTTGTGATTGATCACTTTCTCATTGTCAAAAACATGCAATGTTTACAGATGTATTTTGGCCAGTTGTCGTTTAATAACGGTCTTTCGCAAGTGCTTCAGTCAATCCTTCCAAGGTGAAACAACAAACGTTCTTCATGCTGTTTCTCTCGGGAGTCCTTGAGAAAGCTCTTCAGTTCTTTGACCTTTTGTGCATCATAAATGGTAACCGAATCCACCTTTCACAAAACCCGCGGCAGATAACAGATATTCTCTTTGTCCAGCGTTTCTGTACAGCGATGGGCTAGTATAATATGACAAAACAAATGCTGCCAGTTGCCTCAATACAAAAAGAATAGTTCGATGACAGACAAATTGCCAATTTACTCGGCCACGCATTGTTCAGTACGGTAATTATATGATGACGAGTTTCCTTCTTTGTGTGTATGTGTAAATCCTACAGACCATGATGCATTTCATTCCCCTCTCCTTTACCTCATGACCTTTTCCTAAACGCGAGACGGCTCCACCCTTCGGCGAACCTCTTGATACAGACTGAGGTACGTAAACAAGACAGACGGTCGGTCTCAAGGTCGCACAGGTAATGATACTACAACAAGTTCGGATAAGCAGAATATAAACCCTTGATACAGACCTCATCCCAAAAAATGCATTTCCTGAAGAGAACTAACCGTCATCCGAGCCAGGGCACACCTCGGTTATGCAAATGCTTTACTTCAACTATCAATTTATGTCTAAGACTTTTGCTATGACTAGCCTGAACTGATGGGCGCTACGCTGAAAATGGCTGGGCCTAACAAAGTTGGGTTGATAGGTGTGTGTACTGTGGCGTAAAAGCTGTTCATAATTGGAGTAGCCATTGGAATTTATGTTCCGTCAAGGGGGAGCGACAATTCTATTGCTTCATACGAAGTGCTGTCTCAGCTTGAAGTGAGACACACACGGCTTGGCCAACTGGGAGACAACTTTGTCATGATGGGCCGAGGCATCAACAGGTGACATCGGTGGGCTGCCAGTAGCATCGATACACAAATTATCCTGCCAGCAGAAGCCTCGAGTCACTGCGGCAGCGGCGCCAAAGCTGCAGACGGGCATCAGAGTGGCCGGAGGGCCGAGACCACGGGCCCTGGGGCGAAATTCAAATACCAGTACAAAGCTACTAGGAGCACTAATTACATGTCATCGAAAGTCTGGCGGTGATCTGGAACATGTGCTTCTGGTTGAGCGTCGGTACGCAGGCTGAATCACAATGACAAACACAAACGGTCAATCAAGTAGGAGCTTGCCACAGAGTGTATCACTGGCCATCCTACTAGTTCAATGGAGATCACTGTTAGAGAGCATTGACGTGAGGAAAGCTGTCGCAATCAACATATCATCGATTGGGAGGGACAGCGGATTTGATTCAAACCGATCACCCTGGATCAAAAGGACCGGCAAAAATGCCAAGGACAATCTTAACCAAGCTGTCACTTCGTTGTTTGCCCCAAACTAGTGACAACTAATTCCCCGCGATCGCCGCCGAGGGTTGGGGTCGTCGCTATCCGTTTCCGACGATGTGGTTTGCAGCCGCAATCCCTTATGACGCTTCCATCTGGAGCTAGTGTCGACGCCACGGCCGTAGGAACACTTTAAGCAGCGAACAAGGTCTCTTTCCGTCGGCAGGACCCAGCGGACCAGGCCAGAAAGGCTCAAGCCACATTCCCAAGTCTCCGATTCATCTCAGATGTTCCACATGCGGGCGCCGCGCCAAGCACGCTCAGTTGCATTGCGACGTCGTCAGCGGCACACCTGTAGCTTGGTTTCGAAAACCATACCAGCTGAGCGGTTCGACACTTCAGCACTATCGTCACACAGCATGAGGCCAATGCGCCCCCGTTGGAGATGATCGTGACCCAGCAATGACGTGCTGCATCGAACTCGCCAGCCTCCAGTTGGACACTGGGCCCAGAGGAATGAGAATGGAATTGGCAGAAGCCACGAGCATCAGTAGCGGCGGTACGGCTTGATATCCAATGCTGAATGACGTTGAAGTGTTGCAAGTGATGCGCCACTCACTTGTCAAATGTTGAAACAATGAACACCGTTGAGTTATATAAACCTGGGGTGGTCCGTTGTCATCAATAAGGAGTTCTTCTGTATCACTCACGAATCAAACCAACTCAACAACCACAACCTCTCAACGAAGAAACCACCTAAACCAGCAAACATGGATAAAGCAAAGCAAGCCGTTGCAGGAATTGTATCCAAGGATGGACACCACAAGACCACCGTTCATGAAGATGTCAACAAGGCCGTCACTGAGGAGCAAGTCCGCCCTCACCGCCACGAGGAGATCACCACTGCCGTTGACAAGGAGGTTCACCAAGACCACCACCACACCACAGTTCAACCTATCAAGGACAAGCAGGTTCTGTAAGTCACAACGGCCCCTCTTCAACGCAGACTGGTCAACTGATTCCGCACCACAGCCCTGAGAAGCACCTCCACAATGTCGTCCCTACTGCACACAAGTCTTTCAACCACGAAGACAGCAAGGAGACTAAGCACACCCTTGACCGCGAACATGCTAAGTTCAAGGACACTTCTGTCACCCACGACACTACCCACACCTCTACCGCCGCACCTGTGGTGACCGGTGAGCGTGTCCACCACCACGTTCACGAGCACATCCAGCCCGTCATCCAGAGGGACGTCGTACAGCCCCATGTCGTGCACACAACTGTGCCAATCCACGAGACACATCACGCTAAGCCCGTCCACCATGCCGCTACTACTCTCCCGACCAAGACCCTTGAGGAGTTCAATCGTGACAAGGGTGGCCTTGACGGACATGGACTCCACAAGGTTGGCGAGTTTGACGGGTGCCCCGACAAGTTGGACAAGGGCTTTGCGAAGACTGAGCACGCTGGGGTAGCCGGAACCCACGGCCACTCCCACGGCCATTCCCACGGCCATAAGGGTTCGGATAGCGTCGCTGCAGCCCAGGCTGCCAACGCTCGCCACACTGTAGGTGATGATTCCAAACATGTCAGCACCACCCAGGGAATCAGGCATGGAACTCACCCGACTGGTGTTCAGAATGATCCCGCCCACACCACCGGCACCGCTGCCACCGGTGCCTCCTCCCTGAACAAGGCCGATGTATGTGGAAGATTGAATGCTCTCAGAATACTCATTTGAAACTAACCATGGTGTAGGCCAACTTCGGTTCTACGACCACCAGCACTGATCGATATGACGCGACGGGCAAGAAGGTTTCCCTTGTTGACAAGTTGAACCCCTTCAAGGATGCCGATGGCGATGGCAAGAAGGGCATCATGAGCTAGACGACAGGTGCTTTTGCTGTTTTATTCAGCTAGTTACTTGTGATATTATTGAAATACAACATCTTACACTTTAATCCATTCTATACCCAATTCGCAACTGCAGTTTTACGCTATTAGTAACGACAGGCTCCATTCGCTTGGCTTTTGCGAACGTGGCTTGTCCAGCCCCAGCTCTTCCCGTCTTACCTCCATCTTCTCCACGCTCATCTTGGTCAACTTCACAACCCGACCGCGCGTGAACTTGTTGAGCGCGGCGATAATTCTCGGCGCCGGGTTGCATTTTCTGCCGTGCTGTTCATGAGAGGAGATGCCCTCGGCGATGGTTCTGATGGTGCCGGCAAACTTCGCCACGCTCTCGCCCTCGCTCACCGGCATCGTCAGTGAAATGGAACCTCTCGTCTTCGCCATGCCCCTGACGAGGCTGCCGAGGATGATGTCGTTGCAATCCGCTCTCTCGTCGGAGGACGCTTTCTTGTCGACGCAGCAGCCTGGACCCGTCGTCAACTTGGCGATGACGTCGTTGAGCTGCGACGGGAGTGTGTTGAAGATCTCTTGGTGCTGCTTGCGCAGGAAACCTGGGTTATGGTAGTTAATACCGAGCCTGGTTTTCTTGTTCTTTTTTTCTTCCTCTTTTCATCAGCGGACAACCGATCATCAAGCTTACCGAGTAATCCCGGAGGACCGATAGGGTCAGAGTCATCCAGCACTACGCCGTCAGCGGTGACCATCCGGCCGTCTCCGTCGATCGAAGAGTACAGCAACAGCTCCTTCATCATCTTCCTGTGCAGCTCGACCTGGCCCAGCTCCCACGCGACGTACGTCAGCGCGGCCATGCTCTCGCCGTCCGTCACGGCGGCACAGCTCTCGGCCACGTCCAGCCACGCGTTGGCCCACGGCTTGAGCGCCGGGACCATGTCGTACTTGTTCGCCATCTGGAAGATCTCGTACAGCTCGGCCAGGCCGGGCGTGGCGGGCACCAGGGGGAAGTTTGCGTGTATGATGTTCAGGACGATCTCCAGAGCGTCGGGGTCGTCGTCCGGGAGGTGGACGAGCCAGGTACCGAAGGCCGGCTTGGACTCCTTGAACGGGCCGAAGAGCATCTTCTTCCAGACCTGCGACGAGCGCCGCAGCGCGTTCGCGCAGACGCGGAACGACCGCTCGGGCAACCCGGTCTGCTGGCCGGCGCGGAGGACGAGGTCGCCGTCCGGGTCGACCTGGACCTCTTCGCTCGTGGAGTCGACGCCGTCCGCGTAGTTCATCGAGATGTGCGCTATGCAGGCAGAGATTGCTTCGATTGCTGATTGCTTGCAAAGTCGTGAGGGTTGCCCACCACTCGCTGATATTCGTACGTCATGGCAGGGAAAGTGGAGGCATAGTGTTTTGTCACCAGGCCCAAAGCATTGACACCCCCCAAAAACTTGGCAAAGTTGGAAGCTCAGAAAATCAAGATACCTTTTTCTAATGGTTCCGGGGGTATCCGTGCATGGCGAGGTCGCAGTGGCGGGCTTACATACGCGATTCTATTTCGTGGACCTGTAACAACTGGCATCGCAAAGACAAGGAAGGTTTCGACAAGATTATAAAGGAATTAGTATAAGATCATGGACAACTCCGTCGAGGTATTAGTCCGGGGTGGGGTAATCCTCCTTGATAGCCCAGATCAGCCTAGTAAAAACCTCAGTTTGGCTCCACTGCGGTACGCTCTTCGTTTTACTTCCCGAAAGCATGGCCATCTGGAAAGGAAGGCAAGTTGGAAGATTAATTACTGTGTTTCCAGGGGGCAGAGGGACGCTTTATGGGTGAAATGGTGCAGAGTTCGTTGCTGGGCTACGTTTAGAACGGCAGACAGCAGTGTCTTTGATAAGTCATGACATACGCCTCCTCGCCCTGCCTATGCGGAGAAAGAATGCCAAGTAAGGTTTGACACTATATAGATATATTGACCATGCGTGTGACATCAAAGGGATTGGATGTTATTGAGTTTGTCTCCTAGACTCCCGCTGTCTTCTCTCTACTAATAAAGCGTTACACGAAACCATCTTGCTCGTTGCCTTCGAGATAAAAATGCAAGATTGTCAGACTGATTTGACTATCCTGTCAGGGTTTACCTTTTCTAGAGGTACACTTGAAAGATGGACTAGTGACTAGTTGCCAGAGAAAGCAATAAAAAAAAAGAGAGTATACACCATAGCCTTTACAACAACCCTATCTGTTATTGACCCCAGTGCTCAACACCTGAGAACCGACCCCCGCAGCTCCTGGTCTCGAAGCTGGGACGATCACCATCAGATCCCCCCCCCCCCGATACCTGCTTGAACCTGTATGGGGACGATCCATATCGCCAACAGAGCTTAATTGAACGAAAACACACCCGATTGTCCAACATGCTGCGCTTGCAAGGATTCCCGGAGCGATTTGTGGCAGGCTTCGGACTCTTGGGGTGGGAGGGGACAACCCCCACTGCCACTACCAGAAGCATCGATCACGTCAGCTGGGCAGACAAGCACACACGCATTAGACCGAAATCACGAGCTGGTGAATTAATCAGCTAGCCAGGCCTGCATCGGCGAGAAAAAGGCCCTATCGAAGATTGGCAACAATCTTGCGACATGTCGTGACGGGCATAATAGTGGAGCATTGGGAGAGGGAGGGAAGGGGTTGGCTGTGGTTGCATCCCTCTCTATCTCTCCCCCCCTCCCTCCCCCCGGCTGTCGTTGACCCAGCTCGGCCGCATTAGCCTTCCTCTTCCGCATCGATCGGGGGGCGGTGCGCGGCAATCCGCTTCAGTCGAGGGGCATAGAGAGAGAGAGAGAGAGAGAGAGGAGGAGCCGGGACCAATGCTCGCGGGCGAGTAATAAAACCACGCGCGCAGGAGGTAGCCCTGCTGCTGGCGAACTTGGAACGCGTCAAGAGGGACTCAAAAAGAAATCACCATGAGCGTGTTAATAGAGAGTGCACGGCGCCCCCTCTCATACGATTCAGGGTTGATAATCTCTCTAGGCTGGTAAAGGTGCCCCCCCCCCCCCCCCCTTTTTTTCCCAGTTAGCCGACCATGTATATCTCAAAGTTCGTCGGAGTGGTGCCGAATGTCATTCGGCTTCTTATCGGGGATCAAAGAACCTTGGCTTTTGGAGGTCGCGTTTTGGAGAGAGGAAGGGGTTAGCCGGATTGTGTGTGGTCGATGGCGATGCAGCCATCTTGGGGAAGAATCACGCAATGCGGGACTGCAAGAGCACGTAATTCTTCCCCCCTCCAAAAAACGACGCCTAGCCGATCGACAACCCTCCGGATATCGGGAAAGGGAGGGGGTATTGTGTTTAAACGAGGTAAGAGAAAAATGTCTCTTATCTTCTTCAGGGGAAAAGGGAAAATGTAAGGGAACTTTGCAAAGAAGAAAGGGTAAAGAAAGAAAAAAGGGGAAAGTCCAACAATTTCATTGTCTACGTGATTGGAGGATCCCCTTCCAACTTCTTCTTCCTCCCGCAGTTTACTCGGAAGCTTCGCCCCAAGATCACTGAAACTCTCTTCATTACGACTCGACCCAAGCTTGCTCTACTCTGCATACCTAGGCAGTGCAAGGAAAGATATTGCCCGAGGAGGCGCCATACCCGAGCGACATCCAACGCCTGCATACAAGACAGCCACGTTCATCCCGTCCCCCCTTCCCTCACCGGGATACACTCTCCTCCTCACCTTACCCTTTCACCCGACCAATGAGAAGGACGAGGCCGTAGAGCACAGGAACACGGGAACCGAAAAGAAAGGACGCCATGGCAGAGATACCGCAGACGCAGACCGTGCTCATCCTCCACGCGGCCAAGCAGCCGTACGAGACGATAGATGGGTACGAAGTGCCTGAGATCCAAGATGAGCGGGAGGTGCTGGTGAAGACGGAACACATCGGCCTCAACCCGATCGACTGGAAAGCGCCGTATGTCCCCCTTCCACGCTATACATATCGGCGTCAATCACAAATAACCCTTTCTTCAAGCATGTTTGCTGACAGAACGGTGCGATACCTGCAGCGACTTCAACTTCGCGATCCCAACCCTCCCTTACATCTCGGGCCGCGAGCTCGTCGGCCGTGTGGTCCGCCGACATCCGTCGTCGCGGAGCCGGCTCCGGGAAGGCGACCGCGTGCTCGTCATCTCGACCGACTACCGCGACCTCCGTAAGGCGGCCTACCAGCAGTACGTCGTGACGGCGGATTTTAACGCGTCGCGAATCCCTCGCGGCATTGACGGCGCCGTCGCGCCCCGCGCCGCCGCTACTCTGGGCGTCGCCTTCGTCGCCGCCGTCCTCTCGCTTGGCGTCTGCATGGGCGTCGACTTTACCGGCGTGCTGGGCGGACCAGACCTGCTCCAACTACTGCGCGGCCCGGTCCCCGCCGAGGCCCTGCCGCAGGATATCCGCGCCGAGTGCCTGAGCGGGATCCAGGACGGCGAGCGGGCCACGGCCGGCGACTGGGTCGTCGTTTGGGGCGGGTCATCGACGTCAGCGAACCTGGCCGTGCAGCTCGCGCGGCTGGCCGGGCTGCGTGTCGTCACCGTCGTAGACAAGCTGCGGCACGGCCTGCGGCTGGCAAACCACACGGTCCTGCGGCCCGACCTGCTGGTCGATAGTCACGACCCGTCGCGCGCGGTCGATATTATCCGGGCCAACGTCGGGAAAGACCTGCGTTTCGCCCTTGACACCAGTGGCAAGGAGTCGGCCGGCTGGCTCTTGCGCGCACTGGCGCCAGAGAAGGGCGCCAGCAGCGCGCCGCCCAGTCCGCCTGACACCCCTCGCAACAGTGGCCCCACGCGGAAGCACCTCATCGGCCTGACGGGCCTGCCGAAGGAACAGGCGCCTGAAGCGGTCGCGTATCACACCGTTCCCATCAAGGTCTTCCACGAGGTGCCCGCCGTCGGTGAGGCGCTGGTCACCTGGCTCGAGAGGCTGCTGGAGAACGGACTCATCAGCGCCCCCGAGCTTCTCGGTGTGGAGGAGGGCTTCAACGGCATCAACCGCGGCCTCGACAGAATGCGGAGGGGCGAGATTCGCGGCGGGAGGATGGTCGTGAGCCTCGAGCCCGAAGGAACGGAACAGGTCGTAACCAGAGACCCGAATGTGCCCCCCGCGCGAGTCGACACGCCCGAGGAGGGAGGCGTGGAGAAGCCCCAGCGGTCTGGGTCATCGGCGGCATCGAGTCCCGAGTTTACGTCCCAAAAGCTCGCCGACGCAGGCGTCAGGAGGGGAAGCGCGACGTTGTGGCAGGGCGGACCCACCGTCAGCTCGGTCCCCCGGAGCGTGCCGGACGAGCAGCTCTCAACGGAGGAGCCAGCGCTGCAGACAATGCAGAGGAGGGGCTCGTTGTGGCAACCCAAGTCAGCGGCGATCGATGCGGAGAAGCCCCTTTCATGACGGAGGCGAGTGAGTGGAGGAGAAAGGATGCAGCCTCTGGAGGATAAGGCTGAATGACGATATGAAAGAGAAGATGTTCATACCGGACACAAGCTTGAATTAGAATGAACCAGTAGACCGAATCTTGAGAATACCATAAGAAAAGTGATAATAAGACGTCGATGAGGCGTGATTGATGTGAAGTCTCGGTCTCACCTCACCTCGGTGAAGCCGGGGAATTGTGGCTCGAATTGATGCCGGCGCGGGGGACAAGCGGGGTTTTTCCGGCCCCCCCTCACCGAGCGAGCTGGTGCCTAGGATGGCCATGATGTCCCATCCCCTCAGATGCTCGACGTCCCGTCTCTTACCCTCTTGTCTCCTTCGCATCAGTCCACCCCGCGAGGTATCGAACCCTTGTGATTTTCAAACATCTCCAACCTCACTACGACCACATATAGGCAGGCGTCCGGGATGTCGATCTGTCAGACGGAGCGGCAGCGACTCCCTCAGGAGCTCGTCTTGCACATCATCGAAAGGCTTCTCCCGCCGAATGAGACTGCCATCTTGCCCGCCTCACACAGCGCAACGAGGGCGCTCGTCAACTTGACACTGGTATCGCGCTCGACGTATGGCTTTTCCACACGCCTCCTCCGGAGGCGGTGCATGCACATCGACTCGACCAAACGCCTGAGCCTGCTTCTGCTCAGCCTCCTGTCTCCGTCGCTCAGCAGCCTGCCGCCCACGCTATCCCTCAAATGCATCACCTCCCTCTACATCAGCCCCTTTGGGAAGTCGCTGGACGACAAGCCCACGGCGATGTGGGTACGCGAGCTCTTCTGCGAGGTCTGCGACACGCTCAAGAGACTCGTGGTTGACATGCCGTTTGGGAGTTTGTCAGGGTACAACGATCACCTCGACGTGAGGCCGACGCTGACGGACGGGTTCCAGAGGCTGTCCAAGTTGGAGGAGCTCGTATGCATGCGAGACTACCCGGCCCTGACGTTCATGTCGCGGACCTTCACCGTCAACTGCTGGAGCCTTTGGCCCAAGCTGCGGCGCGTGGCGTTGTTTAAGGCTCCCGTAGGGAGCCACTGTTTCTGGTACGACACGGCCAACACGGCCTCGCTGGAGCACGTCGTGCTTGTGCGACCGTTGGATCTGGAAACAGCCAATATCAAGGATGACTACAATGAGGTGCTGCAGAAGTTCGACCATCTGGTACCTCGCAAGCTCAAAGTAGTTTTGGCGGACGTAGAGAGCGACTTGGCTGATGTACAGACAGCGGGTTGGGCAGAGCACGACCCGGAGGGGCTGATTGTTGTCGAAAAACACCACATTCCCACGTCCTTCTACGGCGACGAGGCAGTGGATGAGGTGTGCTGTGGCTGGGTCAAGACAGCTGCGCTGAACGGCTCGATATGGAGCTGGGAAGGCCAACCTATCGTGGGTGCGCCGGGTGATGCAGGCGAACAGATTGTGTTAGCAGCAGATGCATGATGGTTGCGTCGGGTTACAAGATCACAGGTCGTCAAGATATCGGGATCCTCCTTAACGAGTACACTGCAACGACTCAGCCGGTTGGTTGTTTGAACCACTACATTCTGCAGAGTCACTCGGCGAGACTCCTCAGCTGTCGCCTCCAGACGGCCGTCGACACGGCTACTTTGGAGCGGCACGACCGCGCAAAGGAATCCTGCGCCGCCAGATGACGCAACGCGAACCACGACGACGCGTGTTTTCGAGCGCCAACAGGTGGGTCTAAAATGCCATCGGCTAAGCACGGGAAAACGTCCACATGCCTTGGCGGCCAAGGCATGCTTGCAACGGCTGACAGTCGCCCGGATGAGCCTCAGTGGCACTGGCGAGAAGCGGCAGAATTTCGGCCATGGCTGTCAAGGTATCAGGCTCTCACAATGTCAGCATTACAGCATCGATTAATGTGACCATTAAAGCCGTGCCAAAGAGAAACTAGACGGTGCTGCGCCTTGGCGGCGAGGGGCCCGAATGCGGGGGTTCGAGACAGGTGTAGGTAATAGATAATGCTGGGACTTTCGGACACAAATAGTACCAAGCGAGGGGTAAAAGTGACTAGGTAGACGTTGGTGCTGGGGAAAACGTCTGATAGCTCGGACAGATCGGGAGATGCGTTTCGGTCAAGGTGCAGCTGCAGACGACGGACGGCAGACGAATGGGCGGCAATGCTGGTGTAGAATCGGTCCGATGATTGGCAGGCAGCTAAACTAGCCAAGGCAATTGTATCCGTATGTCGGTAATACCATGGGAGTAGAGACCGCGATGAAGAGCTCCTGAGGGCCACGGGGTGACAGAAGGTCGGAAGACGTTAGTTGCATTGGAGTGATTCGCTTCTCCAAGAACCCCCCCCACGGTGCCTCGGCCCTCGTCCCCCCTCCCCCCAGCCAGCCCAATCAGGTGGCTCGGACGGTGTACAGGCCGGCCATTAGTCGCGAATGATGGGGCGTCACCTTGCAGTAGTTTCTGGAGTGCGATTGATCGTAGAAGTAACCTACGTTGAGTGTTAGTACAGCCGAGAGCCTCTACGGTGATGGTGATGGTGATGGTGAGCTTGGTGACCGGCTGAAGATGACTGGCAGGCGTGATGGTGCGAATACCTACCTGCCTACCTACCTGTGGGCAATGGGCAGGTACGTGCCTAGAAAGTCGATACGTACCTGCCGCGTAGTAATGGAACACCGGTGGCCGAGGTGGCCGAGCGGGTGGGGCGGAAGGTGCCGGGGAGCGAGACACAAATAGCCTATAGGTATTATGGAGAAGTGATTCTGGGGTTTTAACAGGTACTTGTGCACTACTCCGTAGCTGTACCTTGCTTCACACTTGTACCTGAATTACGTAATTTACTAGCTTCCTTACCTAGTGTACGCAGCAAGTCGCATCAAGGAGTGCAGGAAAGTAAGGGTAGCCGGGGTTGCCGCATCTCACTCATAGGACCGCCCTCCGAGCACGGCGCATGGAGAGCGCGATTTCTTCAGCACCTGCCCATTCGACGTCTTTCCGAGAAAGAACAAAAGGAAAGAGCGGCACTCCCTGTGCCCCAATCAGCGACAGCAGAAGAAGCAGAAGACAGTATCCGTATAGGGATGTGGAGAGAGAAGGAGCAAAAGAGAGGAACGAACGGTAAACGAGGTGAGTCTGGGGGTGGAGCCCGTTTGACGCCGGCTACAGGGACGCCGCTTTTAAGCAAGGCGCGGGTTTGCAGATGCCGGCCCGGGGAGAGGAGAAAAGAAGAAGACGACGAGGAACCATTCCAATGAAAGTCCATTCACGCTGTGTTGTTCTTGGCCCACGATAGTGCCATCGTTCAGAGAGAGAGAAGCGAGCCTAGTGGCATGGGCAGGCTATGGTCCCAGCCCTTTCTGTCCGTGTCCGTACCTATCCAAGTGTCGTCTCCTGGACTCTGGCTATGTCAAGACGAATAACACAGAGTGAACAAACGCCTAGGTTTTTCCTTAGTAACTTAGGTGTTTGAGGGCGGTCTTTTCGTCGCTCATGTCCGGCTAATAGGTCACCCACCCTGTCCTCTTCCATCCTTGTTCCGTCTGCTCTTTCTTCTCACCAAAACCAATCCAAGCCGATTCAGCCCAGTCCAGCCCGTCCAGTCCGTCCAGCTCAGTCGAGCGTCTTCCTGATGACTGCTGACTCACTGTCGCCTCTCCTCCTATCCCCGTTACCTCACTTCATCTCATCCGGACTCATTTAGATGGTAGAAAGGGGGGAAGGGGAGGGGCACTCGGATGCTGCTGCGCTCCTTTAGCTGACAAGGAAAAAGGAAGGAAAAAAAAAAGAAAAGAAAAAAAGAAACACACCAGGCGTCATTTCATGCCTGCCCATCGCATTTACACTACATCTCCGCCGGACCCGGGCGGCCATCATTCATTTCCCCCATCTTTCATGCTTTGCCAATCTGCAAGTATCTCCCCAGCACACTGGCACCCGACACTACTATGTAGTGTACCTACAGCCACTCACCGACCCGGACTGTGGTTCTCCAGTTTACCCCATTTTTTGCTCTGCGCACACCCCCCATTCCAGCACCCTGGTGTGGTTCTGTTCCATCACAGCTGTCTGTCCATCCCAGACCAGACCAGTCCACCTCTTTCTGCTCTTCTTCTCCAGTTTCCAGTTTGCAGTCTCCGTTTTCGCCTCACCTTTTGCTGTCGTTCCCTCCTTCTCCTACTCCTCCTCCTCCTCGCCCTCCTCCACCCGTTTACCGTTACTGGCAATTTCCCCAGCCCATACCCTTTTTGGGGTCTCCTTCTCCGACAAATCATTGACACCATCTCGTACCCTTTGGAGAGACAATGTTGGATTTCTGCACCTCTACTGGCCCGGTCTTCACATGGTTATGAGCTTGCCCCGTTCTTATTCCCCAACACCATAGGTGAGTTTTGACTTCCGCCTTGCGTAGCTGAGAGACTCGCCCGAGACGGGTGTAACGGTACAACATTATCACAACCACTACCGTTCCCACGGGACAAACCGCAGCTTTTGTCCAACGAAACCCACGCTGGCCGGCTAACACTTCTTCAGGTCTCTCATCCTGCCGATTGTCGCGCACCTAGGCGCACTACCCCGAATCCCTCCTCGCCCGCCTTCTTCTCCCGAACGAACCCCCCCCTATCCCCAGACATGCCCGACAAAAACATCACGACCATTTCCTATGCCGCCGGCGCATCCCTCGCCGCCATTGCCCTCGTCTACGTCTTTGCGCCCACCTTCACAATCGACGAGTCCAGCACCTCGTCTTCCCGCAGGAAGGGCGTCGTCGGCCTGCGCAATGCTGCCAATGACTGCTTCATCAACTCGACCCTGCAGGCCCTAGCTGGCCTGGGCGAGCTGCGCGTCTACCTGATCCGCGAGACCCACCGCCGAAACATCGACGATGAGGGCGTCTACTCCCAGCTGGTCCAGCCGCCCGGCAAAACCTACCCAGACTGGAAAATCGAGGGCATGCAGCGCGGCTTGGTCACCCAAGGCCTCAAGGACATGCTCGATTCGTTGAACGAGCGGCCAATTTACAAGAAGTCGATATCCGCCATCGAGTTTGTGAAGGTGCTCGAGACGGCCTTCCGCCAGCGCATCAGCCGCCAACAGCAGGACGCCCAGGAGTTTCTTCAAATCGTCGCCGAACGTCTCAAGGAAGAGTACCACGCCGGGGAAAGGGCCCGCGCCCACGCGAAATTGGCAGCATTGCGGGCCACGTCAGCCGGCTCCAACCTTAACGGTGACACAGTCCAGCAAAAGCTGGAGGATCTCGACAAGGCCGACAGCCAGGGCGGCGAGGAGTCTTCTTCCGCACTGCCGACGTCCACGCAACCCCAGCTTGAAGTCGACGGCGTCCGCCAACCGCTCCAGGATGACGAGGGCTTTCCCATGGAGGGAAAATACGAGTCGCAGTCGGAGTGCCAGACGTGCGGTTACAAGACGAAGCCGAGGGAGGAGTCGTTCTATATGCTGACACTGAACGTGCCCCAAGTCAGCTCGACCACGCTCAGCTCATGCTTTGACGAAATATTCAAAACGGAGATAATTGACGACTTCAAGTGCGAGAAGTGCCGGCTGATCCAGGCGGAAGAATCCCTCAAGCAGGACCTGGCCAAGGCCAAGGGCGAAAGCGAGAAGGCGGCGCTTGAGGAAGCGGTGCGCAAGCTGCGCCATGCGATTGACTTCGACCCGGAACACGTTCCCGAGGATGTGCTCCTTCCCAACATCAGCGAGGCGCCAAAGCGCAAGATCGCACGGTCAACGCGCCTCACTTCCTTCCCGCGCATCCTGGCCGTTCACCTTTCGCGCTCCATCTACGACCAGACGTCGACCAAGAACTCGGCCAAGGTCGCCTTCCCCGAACGCCTGCCCCTCGGCGGCCTGCGCGACCGCCGCAACTACAAGCTGCTGGGGCTAGTCACGCACAAGGGGAGCCACCACAGCGGGCATTACGAGTCTTTCCGCCGCCAGAACACGTACGCCCCGTACTCGAACCAGAACACATTCCAGCCCTCGGGCATCTACAGCAAGACGACCAGCCCCGCCGCGACGCCGCAGCCGTCGACACCGCAGCTCGACGCGATCGCACGAGGCGTCAGTCCCGCGTTGTCAACGCCCGATCTCCTGACTCCGACCTCCGAAACGAACTCGTCCACCCCGTCCGTTTCCTCCCTGGACGCCTCGTCGTCGAGAGACTACGCGCAGAAGCGCATCAGCCCGACCTCGGCCCCACGCGACAAGCAGAGGGAGCCCGACTCGGCAAGTATCCGGTCCGTACGCTCGTTCACTGCCTCGGCTAGGAGCACCGTCTCCAAGATCTCGCACAAGGTCAACGGCAACAGCACGCCCGGGGGCAGCCCGCCGCCGGGCCCGACGCCAATGGCCGTGGCACCCCGGCCCCCCGCGCACAGGTCGCGCAAGAAGCAGCCCGTTGACCGCTGGTGGCGCATCAGCGACGAAAAGGTCCGCGAGGCCAAGACAAGCGAGGTGCTCGACCTGCGCCGCGAGGTCTACCTCCTGTTCTACGAGCTCGAGAGAGGGGGCAGCCCGTAGAGCGAGGCTGGCGACGACGGCCCCTCTCAGAATGGGACGTTGCCGCCAGAGCTCGCACCATTCCGGTGCTACACAGCCGCCGCCTCAATGAAGATGACTATGTGGCGGTGAACCGAGTTGTACCTATACTCCTATGGGAGAGAAGGAAAGAAGGAGTGGAAGAGAGTGAGAGGGGGGAGATGGAAGATAGCTGTCGTTGTGAACATAAGCCCCCACTCGCTTGCATATACAGCTGTATCAAGGAAACACAAAAAATGCATCGGCTAGGCGTACAATAAATAGTCTTTATTTTGTTCATTATTTTTTGTTTTCTTTTCTTTTTTCCTTCCCCCCCCCCCCCCCCCCCCCCCCCTTCCTTGTTGTTCAAGCATTGGCATGCTTGGGGCTTGTCCCCTTCCTCTGCCGGGAGGGTTTCCCAATCAGCATCTGGCAGAAGTAAAAGCGGCCATTCCGGTGGAAGAGGTAGAACAGGAAGGGAAGCTGTCGTTGGGGAGATGAGGGGAGAGAAGCGAAGGGTTCAAGACACAACCGCGAATGGCAAGTAATAACGGTGGTACATAGAATGGTACAAGTATAGAGAGGGACAGAGAGAGGGGGGGGAGGGGGAGAAGAGGATAGGCAGGGACGCTGTTGTCTTGAGAAGAATTGAAGAAAAAGATGACCCATCGAAGATCAGCACACATGCATGCGTATGCACACCATTTTTTATTTTTTATTTTCTTCTTTGATCTTTTTGCCCCCTCCAACGCGTCACCTCTCGGACGTTGATACTTGCTTGCGTCGGGGCCCTCCCAGATCGGACGACGCGGTCCCAGCCGGCAGCCGGGAGGAGTGGGGGGAGGGTAAACCCGAGAAACGCCGGCGACGGACGGTCTTGGTCATGCATACATCACATGGAGGTTTCGGCGGGCTGTCAAGCCAAAACATAAAAGGCAAATGTTCTTTTCAAACCCAAATGTAAGGTGCGCCCGTCCAATTAGTCGTACTTCTCGTGCTACATAGTTTATTTAGTATCGTACCATGTGTTCGTAGTGAACAAACTCCATGCGCCAACATTCTAACTCTGCGCGCGCGCCCTCCGTCCCTTTTCAAGCCAACATTCCCCAGCCTTGGCGCCCCTTTTGTAATGGTTCCTCACCTCTGTTGTATTCGATTCATCTGCATGCGTTACTATCAACACCCTTTCTAGTCATTAAGCCATCGTCGTCCTATGATGACTTCTGTCCCAGAATCTCCTCGGCCATCTTAGCCTGGTCGGCTTCGTTGAGGGGGGGCTGGCTGCGGACCTTATGCGCCTTCTCAGCGTCGTACCGCCAGAGGCCGCCCGTCTTGTCGGCGTCTCCCGTGGCCGGCAGGCCGACGTTGGGGCCGAGAGACTCGAGGACGGCGTCGCCGTCGGCCTGGCGGTCGGTGAAGTACCTGCGCTCCCATGTGCGGCCCTCGGCCTTCTCCTTGGCGCGGAGCTCGCGCTGGGCCTTCTCAATGGCGCTCTTCTCGCGGGAGACAAGTTCCATGTCGCCCTTGGCGATGCCGTCAGCGACGCCCTTCCAGGCGCGGCGCGACTCGAGCGGGTGCTGTTTGTCGATGGGAGCAACGATGAGCTTCGAGGTCGGTTGCTCGGCGGCGTCGTACGTTTCGACTAGTGTCTTCGACGAGTTGTGCTTGGAACTGCCCTCGTGGATCTCAAACGACTTTGTCCAGACTCCGGTGATGTTGTAGGCGACGTCCTTCTCCTTGCCGGTGGGGTAGATGCTGGCGGTGACGCTGTTCTTCTTGCCCGAAAGCCAGCCCTTGCCCGAGTAGTCGATCTTGGAGGTAAAGCCGGTGGACGAGGTGATGAAGGAGGTACCTTCGAGCTCGATGAAAGGGGCGCCGAAGATAAGGCCCTCGATATGCAGGGCGGGGAGGGTGATGAGGTACGTCTCGGTCTTACCAGCCTCGGGGGAGGGGAGGGACAGGACGGCATGGCCGATCTGCTTAATATTGATGGTGCGGCTGAAGGTGGCCTTTTGAGCATTGAAGCCCTCGAGGTGGACGCCCGAGTCGAGGTTGGTGATGGAGTATGCCGTCGCGGGAGGGTGGTGGCTGCGCAAGCACGACAAAGGTCAGCGTTTCCATCGGGGACGCAGAAGCAGAGGTGGAGGGAAGGATACGAGTATTTTAACGGAAGAGGGGGTGCCTTACCTGACCTGCTCGCTGATGAGCTCGGTGGTGCCAGCCTCGTCCTCCCACTTGCCGAGGAAGAGCTCGCCGAGGAAGGGGTTGAGGGGCTTTTTCTCGTTGCCGTACTGCTCGCTGCGAGAGGCGTACTGCTGCTTGAGGGTGGTGATGAACCATTTTGTGACGAGGAGGGCGCGCTTGGCGGGATCGGTCTCCTTCGCGGGAGCGGCGAAGATGGAGGGGTGCTCGCACCAGTAGGAGGAAAACTCGGTCAGGGAGGTGCTCGAGAGGATGAAGGGCGGGGCCGTTAGGGAGGAGAGGTCGCCGTTGAAGGAGGCGATGGACTAGAGGGAGAGGAGCAGTCAGCCTACGTGGTCTATCTGCACGAGGAGCGATTTGGGCAGAGGGACGCGAGAAGTAAGAGAGAGAGAGAGAGAGAGAGAGAGAAGCATTACCTTGAGGAAAGCTCCCCAGCTGCCCTGATTGGCCTGGGACTGAGCTGCTGGCTGGGTCTGGTCGGCCATGGTTGAAGAGGGTTTCGAATTGGTGGGTAGTGTCAGTTGCAGTGTGTTCCTTTTCGATTTGGTTCGTGAATAGCCTCGTAGAAAGGAATAAAACAGGCTTTTTTTTGTATTTTTTTTCTGGGAAGTGTGTAAGTTACCAAGATGCAAGTACGTTGGTGGGGGGTTGCGTTGCTGAAGAGTACTGATTGTGGGTGTGTGTCCGTGTGTCGTCTTTATGGGAAAGTGGGATGGGATGTCGTAGTGTCATGGTCGGTGCTGTCTGTTGTACGTATATGTACCTAGGTATCGGCTTCAAGGTTGGTAGGTATTACTGGTCGCTGGGTACGTGGTGGCCTAGTGACCGCTGTGGGCTGTTCCCTTTTGGCGGGGCTGTTCCTCAACAAGGGGGGTTACGATTGCTTTTTGGGCGACTGACGGACATGGGGAATGTACCTGTACACACCACTAAGCTATGTACCTACCTACGAATACAAGTAGTGACCCGGACCTGGGAAATGAGTTACATGTGTAGATCCGCATCCGGGTTGACTGGACGATGGGACAGCAGCTGGAGAGGCCACCCAACAGTGACCCGCTCTTGCGGGATGCTTTTATCGATCGAGCCTTTATTTTGCCAGAGGATCTTGTGCAGGTCTGCATGACCTTTGGCGATACTCGAGATGTCTAGGTACACACTATGGTCTATATGACGAGGAAAAGGGGGGGGGGGGGGTGCATTGAGAGGGGACGGTTACGGCTTCAGCTGCAGCTGACGTCAATTTCCCGTCGCCGTCATGTCGCCAGCTGCGTCTGCATAAATGGGATGCGCTTGAACTAGATATGTAGAGCGTGGCTGTGTATCCGTATGTGCGCGTGTATGGTGTGTGTGTGTGTACACTCACTAGTTTAGTAATTATCAGAAGGTGTAGGTGTGCATCCAAGTCGAAACGTCATCGTCATCGCGGGATGGCCATCAGACGAGAAGAGGGGGGGTTATGGGCGACCTACCTACACTACCTACCTACCTACTTACCTGTACAGGGTCGAAGCCAGTCGCTGCTGGGTGATGTCGTCAGCCACATATGACAGGGTGCCACGCCGCGCCACGTGTGGCTCGCTCCCTCTTCCAGCAAGGTGGCGGCGCCTCTGTTGCCCCCCCTGCGACAGCCGCCCCACCCACCATCTACCTACCTCACTTGCTCTTGATCAGATCAGATGAAGCAACCACACCTAGTCGACACCCAGTTAGCCGCCTGTCTCCTTTGCGAAGCTTGTTCCTCCATCGGGCCTGAGCCGCGCCCCGCCCGAGCTTTCGGCCTGCGCGCCGGTGAGATATGATCCCCGTGGGGTTCCAAACATGCGGCATCAGAGTCGCAGGCACAGCTTCTTCCTCAAAGAAATCAATGGGTTTGTTTGGTTTGACGAGACAAGACTAATCCGGTGTACAAAAGTAATCAACGCCATTTTCCCTATCCCATCCCGATTGTAAAAAAAAAAAAAAAAAAAAAAAACCCCGAGACCCTGTTCACCGCTTCAACGCCATTCTTAATTCTTAATTTTCCATCCAAGGGGTTTGTCGTCATCGTCATGTTCTCCCTTAGGCGGCTTCCCGCCTCGCAATCTCAGCAAAGTGCCTGCAGCTTTTCGACCTCTTCCACGTTGATACCCGAGAAGTGGCCCTGGACCGGTTCCCCTAGGATCATCCACGGGCTCAGTCTGCACTCTCTGCTCTGCTCGACCCACGTCCACGCCATGCACTTGTCCGCCAGAGCCTCGCATTCTTCCAGGCATGCCTCCCCGCTTTCCGTCGCCGGCAGCACTCTTGCCCGCTCGTCCGTCCTCCCCACGAAATCCCGGTCTGCCCGGATCGGAGACCGCTTAAAGTCCCCTATCGACGGTGCGCCGTAAATCTCCCAGAGCTGTCCCCAGAACACAGGACTCCTCTCGTCCCGGAACGCGGCCCCAATCCTCTTCATCTCCTCCGGGTCCGCCACGCCGTGAAACGAGACCAGCGGCGAGCAGAACCGGTCCGCCATGATCTTGGAGATGCTGGGCCTCTCGCCGTTAAAGTAGTGGCTGTACCTCTCATCGAGGTAGACGCCAATCTTCTGTAACGCCGCCGCGATCAGCTTGTCGCCCCACGTCTCGTCGAGCGAGTGCTCCTGCATCTCGGCCACGACGTCTCGCCGCGAGAGCAGCTGCCTGGCCGCCTCGTGCGAGATGACCACCGCCGACCCGCCGTGCGCGAAGCGCCCCTTGAAGTCGCCCACGGCGTTACCGATGTACTGCGGCGTATCCCAGTTCCAGTGTGCCAGCAGGAGCCGCAGAGACGACCTGACGAGGTAGGTGTCGTCGTCGAGGATGACGTACCACTTCTTCGGCGGGAGGTTGTCGTAGACGTACTCGAGGCCCCAGATGAACTGCGGACAATGTTAGTGGACGTTTCTCGAAACTGGCAGCGAGGGGCTGAAGTACCTTGAGCGCATCAAGATCCCACCCGAATCTCTTGCCGACCTCCGTCGCCTTGGCGTCGTCGCCGTCCTGGACGGCCTCCTTGAGGGCTAGGTACGTCTTGAACGTGGGCGCATCGTGGTGGGATCTCATCTCGGGCATGGCCATGACTCCGCCAATGGCATCGTGGACGTCGACGCCTGCCATCTTGCCGCCGCCACGCGGCGTCCAGTCGCCCACGACGACAAAAGAGCTGGCGTCTTCCGCCGTGAGGCCCAACGCCTCGAGCTGCGCCGCAAGGCGGTGCCGGGTGCCGTAGCCGGTCTTGATCAGCAGCCCCACGTCGGTATCGTACTCGATGGGGTACTTGGCCGGCTTGTACAGCCAGGCGTCCTTCTCGACGCCCGACCCCCGAAACCAGAGCTGCAACCCCGAAAAGTTGAAGCGGAAGGCCAGGACGAGCGGGTTGTCGTACGGCAGGAGCAGGTACAGCAAGGCATTGCCGATCAGGAAGGAGAAAAAGACGAGGATAAGCAGGCGCTTGATGCGCGGTGAGGGGAGAATCATGGCTGACGGGTCAGAGTTGGTGTGTAGGCGGGATGGATGGTGATGAGGAGTTGGTGGTGTAACGAGGGCGTCATGAGGTTGTGGTGGGCCTCATGCCACCGGTGATTGTAGATGTCGGACAGAGGTTGAGTCCAATGCTGAGTCCCTAGATGAGCTAAATGGCGAACAACAGAGGCGCGAGGCTACGCTCGGGATTCCGGGGGTCGTCGCAATGCGCGGTTCGTGGCGTTGGCCGAGGTTCCGTTTGACAGATTAGAAAAGCCGTGTTTGCCGTGTTATGTGGGCAACGAGCGCAAACTGGTGATGGTGCTGACTGACCACCGTGTGATGCAACCACCAGCTGGGGTCTGTGGCGAAAAGTGATTGGTGCTGGGGCCTATAGTGGATCGTGATGGAATGGTCGCTTCGATCTCGTCTTCGATGCTGGTAGCGGGTCTGAAGCTATTCGCAATGTCGACAACTACAGCTAGCTTCACGGGCAACAAAGACCTGTGAAACTCGCGAGAGAAGTCGTCGAAAAAGACGAGAGGGGAGAAAGTTGGACCACATGCTTCCCATAGTTTCGGGTCTTGCAAGTAGTAAGTACCTTGGGTAGGGACGTAAACATGGAACCCACCATCCCAAAGGGGGGAGAAGCGTCAAAAGACGAAAACGCAAGGTTGAGCACAGGTGCGCCAGGGACCACCCCCCCCCTCAAACAGATGATGCGTGTGTAGGTGTGCTGCAGTATGCCGCGCCACCGGTAACATGCATAACTTCACTGGCGCCGCGTCATTGGACGGTCCCTGGACAGCCAAGAACACCCAAGAAATATTACCCACTCCCTTGAGTCGGTTTGTCTGGTGCTTCAGTTCGGTCTCCCTAGTCCGCGTTTTGATTGAGAGGGAGTACTCTAAACTGTCTCATTAACTCCGTCTTGGAATGTCTTGGGTGGCACTGAATTCAGAAAGTAAAGAGTTGGCACAGCCCCCAACCGAGGATTTGCATGTCCGCCTCATGTCCATCCATGTCCGCAGTCGCCGCCCCAAGACTTCACAGGCCATAACCGCGAGATGATAATATCATGATACAAGAGTATCAATGCCTTGTCCCCCCCCACTTTCCTTTTCTCTCTTCTTGCCGCAGTCCCGGGTAGTGCCAGATATTTCCCCGTTACGCCCCTGGTCTTTTGTTTCTTCCGTCTTTAAGCAGTCGAAGCAAAAGCTGGCATATTGAACCCTGCTGGCATACGTCGGGTACTACCCACTGTTTCCCCATATCCTCGGCAAGATCCAGTTACATCGGAATTCGGCACCCATCGGACATGGCCCCCTCCTTCCCAGGATGGAGCTCCACGCCGCGGATCCCCATCTTCGGCGCCTTCCGCACCATCACCTGTCACAAAAAGCTAAAGGAAGAGATCTGTTACCGTTCCATCGCTGTGGCGCGATCATTACCTATTGCATTCCCAATCACTTCATCCCCACCAGGCCTTTTCCGCAGACGTGTGTGCGCACACACAGCTTACACACCCACGTCATGTCCTCATCAAAATGTCACCGTGTCGAAGGTGCTCCTCTGCCTGATGGCTCTCCCGAACTTGAAGAAAGCCCACGGAACCGGCATCAACGCCAGCGCGATGAATCCCAGCAGACTGCTAGCCCATCCAATTCCCAGATTGGTGTACACTATAAATATCACACGTCAACACGGCATGACCTTACCCCCACTGACAAAAACGGGCACTCACTTTGGACGACGAACAGAGGAAATGCCCCTGCAAGCACATATCTAGCCAGGCTGTTCGCACTCGCCGCGCTGGCAACGTTCGTCCCCTTGTACACATCGAGGAGGTACTGCATCGTGCTCACAAAGACACAGATGTTTCCCCACGCGAACGGCATGATGGCCACCACCGGGCTGGCCCACGAAATGTCCTCCCGCGCTGTCCACCCAAACCAGAAGAGGCCCAGCGGGAGGCCGATGCTGCCCACCATGGCCGGGTACAGCCGGTACTCTGGCGGCGTGCGCTGCGGCGGGTGCTTCTTCGTCTGCGGAAGGTAGATGACGGCGTTGCAGAGCATGATCGTCAGGGACCCCAGAACGCAGCCCACGGCGATGGAGAGGAAGATGAGGCCCTGCTGTTCGATGCCGAAGCCGTACACGGTGCGGAAGACGTACGGAAGCGCCGCAAAGAAGGAGAAGAGTGTCGCGAACTCGCAAGCCACGTACAGGCAGATGAAGGAGACGATGGGCTCAGTGAACATCATCCGGACCGGCCGCGCGAGGGCACTCGTCGCAAATTTGTGCACACGCTCGCGCGCCACCGGCAGAGGCTCGACGGGCAGGCCGAGTTGCGCGGCGCGGCGGCGCTGGAGCACGGTGTGGTAGGTCTCCTTGCTCAAAATCGTCGACACCATGGCGGTGGCAATGAAGAATAGCATCGTCCACTGCGTCCAGCGCCAGCCCTTGCGGTTGACGACGAATGCGCCGATGACGGGCCTGCTCCCCCGCCCCCGGGGGTGTCAGTATCTCTGTTTTTTCTGCCAACAACCGTTGTTCGACTCACCCAAGCCCCGGGCCGAGGAACGGCATGAGGATGAATGCCGTGGTCGGCAGCGCGCGCTCCGAGGGCTGGTACGTCTCGTTGATGGTCCCGCTGCCGATGGCTAGGCTGGGCGACAGACAGAACCCCGCGAGGAAGCGCAGGATGCACACCCCGGCGAAGCTATGGCAGAAGCCGACGCCGAGGGTGAAGAGGGCGCCGAGCGGGAGGCTGAAGAGGTAGACGGGGTGCCTGCCCACCGTCTCCGACAGCGGGCCGCCGACGACAGGACCCAGGCCGAGAGCGAAGACGTACATGGACAACGGGACGATGGCCTGCGTTGCGGTGACGCCGAACTCTTCCATGAGCTGGGTGTGGGCTGGGCTGATAATGGAGGTGCCGAGGGATCTAGGACGGCGGTCAGCAGGTCATAGAGTTTCGGGCAGAGGGTCATGGAAGGCGGGAGCCTACGAAGTAAGTGCCGCCAGCGAGATCATCACCATCTGCGTGAATTTTTGTCGTGCAGGCCAGTTCAGGGGATTGTAGGGGTCGGTATCCCAGTTCCAGTTCGCCTCGTTTTGGACGTGCTTGCTTGCCTCATCGCCAGGCTGTGTCTTGCTGCTCTCGGTGACGTGCTGCTTCTCGGGGTCGTGCCTGAGGTGGTCCTCGCTGGAAGACGCCGTCTTCGTCTCTTCTGAGGAGCGCACTGGTAATTGCGAGGCCATTGTGTCACAATAGTCGGTAGGTGATGGTGACAAGTTGGTCTGAATTGCAGTCAAACTCCATCCAAGAAATGAAGTGATGCGACGTCACGGAGAGGCAGATCAATTATAAGACTTGTTGAGACGGAGGAGAGACCTGTAGATGCTAGTCGGAGAGCGGAGCACGCTAGCCGTGGATAATGATAAGCCACAGAAACAGACGTTTATGTACTAAGCTTTGTGGTTAGTGATCGTGTGGTTGGAAGCCGAGCCATACTCGACGCAGCACGCCGCGATTGGGGAAATCAGGTCAACAGCTTTCCTGACTGGTGAGGACTTGGGCGTGAGAACGCGGCGAAGATCTCGCCTAGGGCACCGGACAAGCCACCTGACGACATTTGGCAAAGACAAGCTCGGCGCCGAATGTCTCGAACTAGAGTGTGGCTACCGGCTTACCAAGTCGCCGGGGTAGGGGGATGCTAAGCAAGCAGACATGGGAATGTAGTCCGCCAACGAAAGCTGCATCCTTGATAAACCATTCTGGCGCCGAGCATCAGACCCCCCCTAGTCTGTGAGTCGGGAAACTGGCCCGGGAATAATATGCAGTCATAGAGCCAAAGGGCGTGTAGAGTCAAAGTCCGGTCGGTATCTCGGCACCGTGATGCACACACACATAACAAGGCGCATTAGCCGCGATCCAGGCTGGATTACTGATTACTGATCCGGGATATTACAAATCGTTCAGTGCCAACCGCCGCGAGAAGACGGCCAGGACTCAATTCCAGATCCCGAGGTTACATGACCTTGAGAGAGGGGGAGAATACCGATGTAGATGCCGAAAGTCAGTCAATGTTTTGCGTTCAGCGCGGCAGCATTCATCAAGGGGCGGGCCGACCGCTTACCGCTCTGAACGGGGATTCGCCTTGGGGGAACGTCATCCCTGGAAAAAAAAAAAACAGCCCCGAAATTTCATCTCCATCATTTTTCCAGCTTCCAGCCAGTCCGGACCCCCTCCGAAACACTATCCATCGCACGATGCGATCCCGAAGCCACCACACCCGCTGTCCGTAATGTCCTCGACCGCGCCGACCGCATCGACAGCAGCGTCCGCCTCGGCGTCGGTGCTCAGCCTCGATGCGCTGTTCAATAATCCCCTCTTCGCCGGCGGCATTGGCCTCGCCAGCCTAGGCGCCGCCGCCGCCTTCGCCCGCAAGGGCGTCGTCGTTGCCGCCGGGGCCGCCCGCCGCCGCCTCCTCGTCAACGTCGAGATCGGCAAGCAAGACCCGGCCTACCCGTGGATCCTTGCCTGGCTGTCGCAGCCGCGTGCACCGGCCGGCTTCGTGGCCTCGCGCATCACCCGCATCCACAATCTCTCCGTCTCGACCACCACCACCGCCCAGCGCGGCGCCGCCGGCCCGACCAACGCCCACTTCTTCCTGCAGCCCGGCTATGGCCGCCACATCGTGAAGCACGGCGGCGCCTACATCGCCGTCAACCGCGAGAAGCACAGCACCGCCAACATGAACACGGGCGAGCCCCACGAGATCGTCCAGCTGACGACGCTGTGGGCGCACCGCCACGTCTTCGAGGACATCTTTGGCGAGGCACACGCGCTGGCCGCCAAGGCGAACGAGGGGAAGACGATCGTCTACGCGGCGCGGGGTATGGAGTGGGCGCCGCTGGGTGATCCCCGGAAGAAGCGGCCCCTGGGCTCGGTGATACTGGACGAGGGCGTCAAGGAGGGCATCGTGGAGGACGTCAAGGACTTCCTGGGGCGGCAGCAGTGGTACGTAGACCGCGGCATCCCGTACCGCCGCGGCTACCTCCTGTTCGGTCCTCCCGGCAGCGGAAAGAGCTCCTTCATCCAGTCCCTCGCCGGCGAGCTGGATTTCAGCGTGGCCATGATCAACCTCAGCGAGATGGGCATGACGGACGACAAGCTGGCGTACCTCCTGACCAAGCTCCCGCGCCGGAGCATCCTCCTGCTCGAGGACGCGGACTCGGCCTTCGTCAACCGCCGCCAGCGCGACGCCGACGGCTACAGCGGCGCCAGCGTCACCTTTTCCGGCCTGCTCAACGCGCTCGACGGCCTGGCGGCCGGCGAGGAGCGCATCGCCTTCCTCACTACGAACCACATCGAGCGCCTCGACCCGGCGCTCATCCGCCCCGGCCGCGTCGACATGATGATGCGCATTGGCGAGGCCACCAGGTACCAGGCCGGCCAGATGTGGGACCGCTTCTACGGCGACGTCGACGCCGACGGCGTGGGCCGCGAGCGCTTCCTGCAGAGGCTCGAGGAGCTGGGCCTGTTCGGCAACGGCACAGGCGAGGCGGCCAACCGGTCCACCAGCACGGCCGCCATCCAGGGCCTGTTCCTGTTCAACAAGAACGACATGCAGGGCGCCATCGACATGGCCGAGGGTCTCATCCCGCGCAAGTTCGAGGCCGAGGACGCGATCCCCGGAGGTGCCATCAAGACGCGTGCATAAAAGTTGGTCCGGGGGTGCTGTCGAGCGGCTCTCGTGGTGCGAGCTGTACAATTTTGTACACTTTTTTTGTAACATGTATAATTCTAGATAGACACAATCTGATATGATACCCCCTTCATGCTTGACGCAGACCCAAAGCAGATTGCGTCCTGACTGTTGCAAGCATCGTATGCCCAACACGTGAGATCCGACGGAAGCGCGGCGCGCTAGGTGAGTGACCCCTGGGCCAGCATTTGTCGAACCCGAAGGAAGGAGACAGTTTCCGCCCACCTTCCCCTGTCGCCAACCTTATTTCCACCTCTCATGCAACCATCTACACACATCACATCACTCGGCATCGTGTCTCGATCGCTCGCCGTTGTCGGCAGTCAACGCCGCGCAAGACTGTGTCTTTTTATGTAAAAAAACGGCCTGGGGGGGGGGTTGCAAAAAACTAACACATCAGAAACCGGCCTGCAAACCACCCCATCACCCCACACCAGCACGTCTATAGGCGCATCTCACTCGGACGTGGTCCAGGCAACCGTTTCCGACCAAACGTCGACGCATCGCGCTCCTCACCTCGCTCTGTTTTTTCTCGCCAACCACCACGCACGACCGGAACGCACCTGAGCTACATTATCATGTCTGACAAATCGCGCCAGACGAGTCTCTTCGAGTTCGCCTTCTGTAGGAGGGGGGGGGACCAAACCCCCAAATCCCAAGACACGACTCAACGCCTGAGCCAAGACACATCGCAGCCTTCATCATCGTCCTCCCCCGCCCCGTCGTCGTCCTCATCGGCCACGACGCCGCAACATTCTCAATCCCGATCTCAATCCCAATCTCAGTCCCGACACACAGGCGGCGGCGACCGCTCCAATCCTTCGCTCGCCTCCGTCTCGGCCGAAACCCGCGCCGTCCTCCCCCAGGTCCTTCCTCACCTGCCGCACCTCGACGCAACCAAGTCCGAATCCCTGCACATGGACTACCTCCCGCCGCTCAAGTCCTCGGCCTGCCCCGCGCACCGGCCCCGCGCGCGGATCCGGATCGTCAATGCCGACAGTTTGAACGCGGCCATCGACCTCGCGGCGCTGCGGCCCGACGGCGGCCGCGTTGCCGTGCTCAACATGGCCTCCGACATCCACCCGGGCGGCGGCTGGCTCAAGGGCGCCGTCGCGCAGGAGGAGGCCATGTGCTACCGCTCCTCGCTGTACCTCAGCCTCCACGCGCGGTACTACCCCTTGAAGCGCCGCGGCGGCGTGTACACGCCCGACGTCGTCGTCGTCCGTGGCGACATGGCGGGCGGCCACCGGCTGCTCGTCCCCGGGGTCGCGTACGCCGACCTGCCGGTCGTGAGCGTCCTCAGCGTCGCGGCGATTCGGAGGCCCGAGGTCAGGAGGCGGCAGGTCGTCACGGCGGCGGGGACGCGGGAGGACGTGTACGTGTTCGCGCGGGCGGCGGACCGGGCGCTGACGATGGAGAAGATGCGGCTGTGCCTGCGGATGGCGGCGAGCCGCGGCCACAGCCTGCTGGTGCTGGGCGCGCTGGGGTGCGGGGCGTTCAGGAACCCGCCCGAGGAGGTGGCGGCGTGCTGGCTCGAGGTGCTGGACGAGGCCGAGTTCGGGGGCGGGTGGTGGCGGGAGGTCTGGTTCGCCGTCTACGATCGCAAGAACGAGGGCAACTTTGAGGTGTTTGATCATGTGCTGGGCGGCGTCGAGGTTTGACGGGCCAGGTGCTCTGCAGAATAGCCCTGCGTGGGACGTTGGTGAAAAATAGAACCTGGATTTCGCGGAGACGTCTCAAAATTGCCAGTATTAACAGGTCACGTAGTTGTTCTGAGACAAAATCGTGGTGATGGACCTTCAATGCGACTAGAAGCGCATGTGCAATGACGAATCCCACTTCAGAACATGCCCAGTATCTGACGGCTACTCTTGGCCGATGCTACTTATTCAGGAGCCTCACCGGCACTGGATGCGGATGCGCTCATTATCTCAACTCGTCTCATTCACACTCCCAGACATCGTACCCCATGGTGACGAAACCCTGGATGGCGTCAGTCCGTGGCTTGTTTGATCTAATAACTAATCATAGACAGGCACACCGAAAGAGTCGTAATAGATCGCCGAGGCACGTATGAGTAATCCTAAAATACGACGGGCCGTCAGTCTGGACAGGGTGTAACCTGGTTGGTGCGAGTGAAGCTGCGTGTTCTTGGTAACGCCCATGGCAGTATACAAAGCTTGATGTGCAGCACTGACTGTACGTTTTACCCACAAATCTCTGCACACTGCGGCATTACCAATCCTTCCGCCATTACTCATCGCGACAATATCCCACGATATGTCGAAAAATGACACTCCTCATTCAACAGATCGGGGAGGCACGATTGCTAATATATCGTCGTACAGTAGGCTTTCTAACCCTTGGCGTCTTCTTCACTTACACAATGCTGGTTCGTAGCCTCGCGGTTCGGGGGGTTAAATGGGCAGGTACACTTCGATGTTGAGAATGTTTTCTCCCACTCGGACGGCGAACCAGAAATACAACTTCGTCTAGGCAGCTTCAGTATACAACACACCTTCGCGTTGAAACAACGCAAACATTTGAACGGTTTTTCTTTTTGCAAATGGCCGACTCAAAGCTCTTCAAACCCCTGCGGGTGGGCAACACCACCCTCCAACACAGGATCGTCATGTCGCCCCTCAGCAGGTTCCGGGCAGACCCCGAGACGCACGCGCCCCTCCCGATGGCCACGGAGTACTACGCGCAGCGGGCGTCGGTGCCCGGCACCATGATCATCACCGAGGCCACTTTCGTCTCCCGGCAGGTCGACGGCTACTCGTTCGCCGGCTTCCACCACACGCCCGGCATATACACCCGGGAGCAGGTGGCGGCCTGGAGGGAGATCACCGACGCCGTCCACGCCAAGGGCAGCTTCATCTGGATGAAGCTGTGGGGGCTGGGCCGCGTGGCCGACCCCGCGACGGCGCGCGCGCGCGGCGTCGCCGTCAAGGGCCCGAGCCCGATCGCCGAGGGCGACGGGGCGCCCGTGCCGGAGGAGATGACCAGGGAGGACATCCGGGGCGTGTCGCCGACTTCGCGCGCGCGGCCCGCAACGCCGTCGAGGCCGGCTTCGACGGCGTCGAGCTGCACGGCGCGAACGGGTACCTCATTGACCAGTTCCTCCAGGACCGGTCGAACCAGCGGACGGACGAGTACGGCGGCAGCGTCGAGAACCGGGCGCGCTTCGCCGTCGAGGTCGCCACGGCCGTCGTCGCGGCCGTCGGCGCCGACATGGTCGGCGCCCGCTTCTCGCCGTGGTCGACCTTCCAGGGGATGCGCATGGCGGACCCGGTCCCGCAGTTCGCGCACGTCGCCCGGGCGCTGAGGGGTCTGGGGCTGGCGTACCTGCACCTCGTCGAGGGCCGCGTCGACGGCAACGCCGACAGGGAGACCACGGACAGCGTGCAGTTCATGATGGACGCCTGGGACCGCGCGTCCCCCGTGCTCATCGCGGGCGGTTTCGACCCGCAGAGCGCGAGGCGGGCGGTGGACGAGGAGCACAGGGATGCCGAGGTGGCCGTGGGTTTCGGCCGCTGGTTCATCTCGAACCCGGACTTGCCGTTCAGGATCGAGAAGGACATTCCGCTCACGCCGTACAAGCGGGAGACGTTCTATGCCGATACGGAGGAAGGTTACACAGATTACGCCTTCAGCCACGAGTTTGTCGAGATTGAAAAGGTACACGGGAACCCACTTGTGGCTTCTGCTATCAGCGCATAAGGGTTGTTTGTTTTTTGTTCATGGCTTTGCCCAGGTGAGAAAGCCGAGAGTGTATTAGAGAGCGCCCCCAACCATATACATATTTAGATATAATTTGATGATGCAACGTCCATTCCTGCATGTACCATTAAACTCTCTTCTATACCATCTTCGTTCAACCCAAGCAAACAACTTTTAGGTTCAAACATTGGTGGAGAGCCAGTCCTGGAAGTTGTGTAGGGGACCACCCAGAATCCGAAATTAGGTTGCAAGACTTCTATTCATGAGACAACGTCTGAGAGCCACACTTTATGGCTAGTAGCCTAAAGCAACCATGTCAAAGTGTCGACAACTGGTCACTAGAACACCGTTCCCTTCGTCTGCTTGCCCTTCTCCTCCTCGACCGTCTTGACGTTGATGTTGCGCCAGAGCAGCAAAGCAATGAAGATCAAGGGAATGAAAGCGCATCCGGTGATAACCATCTTCCTCTGAACGTCGGCGTACGCAGCAATGATGGCCTCGCGGATGGGGCTGCCCATGGGGTACGAAAGCTGGGTTTCGATGCTGGCGAAGATGCTGGCGGTGAGATCCTTGCTGCCTGCGGGCAACTGCTGGTAGAGTATCTTCTCGAGCAAGTTGTTCCAGATGCCGCCGGCGATGGCCAGGCCAATGCCGGCGCCGATGGAACCAAAGAGGCCGTATAGAGCGAGGGCAATGGCGATCTCCTGGTGCGTAACGGACGACATGATGGCGATCTGAGCGCAGGTGTTGAAAATGCCGCTAGACACGCCGTTGAAGATCTGGCACATGACCAGGTAGCCGACACTGGTCGACGGGGTACGGAAATGGATGAGCAAGGCAGTTCCGAGAATGCAGATAGGCACGCCGGCTAAAGCAATGTACTTGAAGCGGCCAGTATAACGAATGGCCCTTTAAACTTCGTTAGCCTCTAAACTTGCGTGTGATTGAACGGGTCAACTTACACTCCCACCAAAGGAGAGACGATGGCTGAGGTCAAACTGAAGGTGTTTAAGATATAACCGGAACTGGTGATATCTTGGTTGTGCGCAACCTGGAGGTAAGACTGGTAATAGGAGTCCCAGCAGCTAGTAATCCGTGTTAGCACGTCTTTCGCCATGCGTGTGTGGGGTTGCTGGACATACTAAATGGAAGTGAACATGATGCCGTAGACCAAGCAGGCACCCAGAACGGTCCTATCCTTGAGGAACTGGTAGGGGAAAAGAGAGACCTTGGCGAAGAACCTCTCCCAAACGGCAAAAAGAGCCAGAGCGACAACACCAAAGACAATCAGGCAGATGATCGTTGGGCTCTTCCATTCGTGCGTGGCACCGGACACGAGGGAGAAAGGAAGCAGCAACATGGACCACCCGGCCATGACCAAAACCAAGCCAACAGCTGTAATTGTCAGAAATTCGATCAAAACATGTGACTGAAACCATGAGACAGAAGGCATTGTACGTACCGTCGAATTCGATGGCGTAGTGCTTCAAGGACTCCACGGTGGAACGAGTCTTCTGCTTGGGTGGGATCAGACCGGTCTTCTTGGCCTTGACTTCGCTGAGGAAAAAGATTATGACGACCGGGATACTGAACCCAATCAAGATGATAGCAAAGGCACCAAATGCCCAACGGAAGTTGACCTGTTCGTAGAATAACTCGGAAATCTTGGGCCCAGCAAAGGTCGTAGCGATTATGGGCGTGCCGTTGAGCGCAATGATGGTCATGCGGTTCTTCAGCGACGTCATGTCGGCGAGGACGATGGTGATGATGTATCCCAGTCCCAGGTGGCCGACCCAGTAGATTGTTTGCGCGGCGGCGTAGGTCTCGACGTTCTGGCAGGTGGCCATCATGATCATGCCGATGGTGACGAGGAAGACCATGCCGAGGAACCCCTCGGCACGCCCGCGGATATCAATGATCTTGGCGATGGTGAGCTGGGATACACCGCCGAGGATTGTGGACACGATGCTGGTTGTGGCCAGGAGTCCGTGGTGACCAAAGGCAGAGGTAACGTAGGGCGTCAGATTACCCTCAACGGCTTGCAGCAGACCGTCGGTAAAAGTCACTAGGTAAAGGCTATTGTCGACTTGTTAGTCTGTGATAATCGCGGGGTCGGTGTTCAAGATGTGCCCTGAACAAGAAGAAAACTCACAGAGCAAAGACGACCCAGAGCATCTTCATAGACCACACCGACGTGATTGCCTCCACCTTCTTGACACCTTCCTGTTTGTGCTCGGAGCTGTCATCTGACCCAGGCTTCAGGGGGTCAGCGCTGATGTCGACCACATTCTGACCGGTGTTCTTCTCCATGTCATGCTCCCCGACGACGTGACTCTGTTCCGACGCCTGAGGTGCTGCCGCTGGGTTGACGGCGGTCATGGTGGTAGTCTCAGGGGGGGTCATCGAAAGAAGGTATGTGCTGCAGGATGTGCGCGCACGTTGGTGGGTAGGTAGAGAGACAAAGGAGGCACCTGGGCCGACAGAAGTATTTGTGAGAAGCGTAAGTGGAAGGGAACAAGATAAGATGGACATCGGGTAAGCAGGACTTTAAAAGCTTTGGATTCATCGCTGATTCCACATCGGGACCCACGTTACGGAGAGATCACCATCAACGCAGCATAGCCGTGGGGCTATAGCGATGCATCCGAAGCACGCCGTTGCTGATTCGTCAAAAGGATCTATTCGTCCGACATGGGGTTGTGGGCAAGACGGAACAGCTACTCTGGGAGTCGATGTCCGATTCTGCGGGAATCGAGTGGCAGCGAGCTGGAGACCTGGCACAGCCAATGGTGTTTGGCCGCGGCCAAGGCGCCCCCGATATTTTTCAGGTTGCCGCGTGTGTTGAATCGTTATCAGATGATCTGACAAGGTATTTGTGGAGAATTATCCACATCAGGCCCTCTTAGTTTTTTTTTTCCTGTTCAGGGGCATCCCGGATCTTGTGGACGAGGGAATTTTCTTACCGGTTGCCCTCGCGATCAAGGTGACGCTTGGTTCCAACTTGTGCTACCCGAAGTTGTAGCCGTACTATACGAGTGCCCAAGTACGAGGTACGAAAGAGAATGTGTGTTCTCTGCTCTATGGTTTCATCTCCGATTTCGGAAAGCTTGGTGAAGGAAATATATAGCTCCTTTGACGGCCTATTCAGGCCTCCTTGAAGGGCTATATTAGGTACGGACGGCCAGAGCGGTTGGTACCTACCGTGGTTCATTGGAAAAAGCGTGCCTCTACCACTTCATCATCGCTCGAGCAATGCCGTCAGTGCCGTGTCAATTATCACCGACTGTGCGAAAAGCCGAACGTGTGTGATCCGATCCGACGATGATGTCCGCACATGAATGAGTCTCCTTCCTTGTCTCGCTGCATCCCGACTGTCACATCCTCAAGACAGGAGCTGGCCGATATAAGCTGATGACGACTATCGGTCCCTCTTGTTGTAACCTTGATGTAGCAGTGATCTGTTTCTTCTCTTTTAGAGTACTAGTTAGCACGATAGATCAAAACCAAACACAGTCACTGCTGTTTTCCCACCAGTCAATCCATCGCCGCCACTGATGTCCCACCATGTGCTTGGAGTGAAAAGCCGAGGGTCAATACTGTGGCCGGACATTCGACGACGAATACGGAATTAGAGGCATTGTGCCCACCCTGTTTTACAGCGGCATGTGTTGAATCCACACCCCATTGGAGCTAGCTCATAAGGTTCCATCAAGCAGCTCGTTCACCCCCTAGTCGCCACTTCGAGTGTCACACTGCAGCTTGTCTCCAGCAAACAACGGGGCAGTTGACTCGTTGCAGTCATTTCCGGTCACTAACGATCGCCAGCAGTGAAGCACCATGACGACCGTTTGCGAAGTGTAGAGTTTATGGGTGTTTTTTGACTGAGCTAAATGAAGAATGGGATATCAACCTGAAAGATCTAGCAATGCCATGGGCTTAGAAGTGTTAATCCAGTCGTAAGCATATAAAGAACCAACCACCACAATGACAACAAATAAACAAGAAGCAGCCAAACTGGGGACATTGGTGTTTATCGCAGACGGCCGTTTGGATAACAAGTTGCGTTCAAGGGACTTGCCAGGGGGGGGGGGGGGGGGGGGTTGCCGGGCACAGAACAACCCTGAAAATGTAGGTTCAGCCAAGTCTAACATTCTAGCCTCTTTCCTAACAGCTGGTCGTTTTAGCCCAACAGATCATTCCAGTACTTTTAATTGCACAAGATTAAGGTGGGAAAGTGTTTGCTTTTATTGGCGCATAAGCTGGTGTCTATCTTGGTGCTCGACAGCTGCTCAAATCTCAACTCGAGAAGTGGGACCAGCTACCGGGGCCCGCCCCGATACACTTAGAGGCGAAATTGCACCTAGATCTAAGATGAGTGTTCTTGCTGGCACATTCCTGTTCGAGGGCGCCTTGAATCGAGACATGGAGTGGAGTAATCAAGCGCTTGTTCACTGCAAAGACCACCACCCACCCATGTACGGGAATGTTGTTTTCTGGGATTCAAGTTGCCAAGAAAGGAAAACATCCCCCATAAGCTCCAGCCTTCCATTGAGCAACCTTATTCGAACGGCACGCCTTGGAGCGTTGGATTCCGGGAGGTTCCCAATGGAGTTCAGCGTGGATCCTTCCAATGCCCCTGCTCGCGGTCCCTTCGGGTTGAGCGATACGCATGCCAAGAAGCACTAAGTAGGAGATCCCACATGAGCCCATTTCCAAGATTCGCTAGTTTTAGTCCGCTTCCGTAAGGCCTAGTCTACGAACTGGCATTGGTTAAAATCCTCGTCCATTCTATGGCTTGCCCATTCCTCGATCTTGCTTCACTTTTTGCGGAATGTGTAGCATTTGGAAAATGCTTGCCTAGATTTGGTGCTCAATAATACCAATGCACTAGGTTTTCTGCGTTAAACATTGAGCTCTGCGGAGGGCTATTGATACCATGGAATCTATGCATCGTCTGCAGTCCATCATCTTTGTTCAGGCCTTGTCTGCTTCTGGAGACGCGCCGTGGGACGTTGTTGTCCTTGGACTGTTTCTAGAGTCAGGAAGAGAAACTCTTTCTGGCAGGATGAGCTGAAACTTACTGATCTTTAGCAAAGTCCGAATTAAATGTGACTATTTCTTATCATCTTTCTCCATGGTCGGCGCTTCGTCATATTTGTGAGGGCATATCAATAAAGTAGTAATCTCAAATCTTCTACCCACAGTATAAAGTGTTTGGCCAGAGTGGAAGTGGTGATGCGGATGCGATAGACTTCTCCCATAGCTAGACGCATAACGCAGTCATTATGGGGTTGGGCAAAGGAGTAAACGGCGCTAGAGACCTCCGAAACCAAATAGATATGATCTGTGAGTTATTATGAAAGTTTCTCAGTTTGGTTTCTTCATTCTTATCATTGGTATGTTCCTCGGCCAGCAGATACTGCCGACTCTCCTGGGCAATGAAGGCGCGGTATCAACTTATTACTTACCAGGGCCCTTCTTGTAAATGTAACATAAATGGCAGCTTGTTTGCTTCTGATTCATTCAATATTTCAAAGGCTTTGTCCGCCATTAGTTACCACTTGGATCAGGCATGGGCGAGAGTAGGCATAGTGTTTTGGGAACCCTTTGCCGCATTGAGTTAAATCAAGGAGAATAGTCACACCTCAAGACAAATTGATTTTATCGTCAAGACACTTTTTGAATACTATCCCATGTTTAGAGATATCGAGCGATATCATATGCAAACTGAACCCAGTACCGCGACAGTTCATCCCGTCATGATATCATATGAATTGCAAGATGAAGTCCGGCATTTAAATGTTGACCTCCGTCGTCCTCTTTTCTCTTCTGTCTAAACCCCATCCGGTGACGGCAAGAATCGCAACTTGGCCAATGAGTAAATATTGATCGAATCTCGTGAATCATGTCACCATTCCAAGTAATCCCAAACCATCTACAGAGAAATTAATAATTTTGATGCCAAGGGATGGAAAGACGAAGAGAATGGCACCCGTTGAACTGTCTTGCGAGGGGAATGTTGTTCAGGAGCTGAACACCGTATGATCCCACACAGCTCAGTGGCTACTATGAATTTTCGGTACGAAATATGAGACTTGATGATTGTAAAATTTTGACTTTCCTCCAGGTATGAAATGCAACTTGATAAATTCTCATCGTCCAAAGTGCTTCTCAAGACTAAATTCACACAATTCCGAGCTAAGACGAGCTAATGTTCATACCCGTCGTGTGAGATATGCGGCTTTCCATTAGTGTTGGCGTGATAGGTTCCACCGCATTGGCTCTCACAGGATTTTGGACGCTAGACATAAGAGCGGCGGTGAAAGTCTGAGGTGAGATTGTCTGCAGGTTCCCGCATTTGCCTACATACTAGGCAGATTGAAGTTTCAATGACATTGCCTTCGGCCGTGTACAAGCCTCAACAGACAGCTGACTGCCTGTATGGTGGAAGACGGTTACCGACCTGGTAAAAATGGTTAATATGAAGCAAGTCCCGAGCCAAGCAGTTTGCATGTTACGTCCAATTTCACGCATTGGCCCGGATGGCCAAGAGAACCCGAAGAAAACGAGTCCGACGAATGAATGAGAGGCCAGACCACCGCTGTTACAGAGTTTCAAAAGTCGCTGTATTGACCATTCAATTTCTATTGGTGAGGTCGTCACTACTCAGTGGATGTTATTATGTTAATGCATCGCCTTTTCCACTTAGCCACCACGACACAAGAAACTCGCTGGCGGGAAAGAAAAAGAAGAGAGCAACTTCTGCGCCCCATGAGGCTGGTAACCAATCTATCTACAAGCTTCCGGTGACGTAAATACACATAAAATGTTTGCACGTCATCTTGGCATTTCCTGCGGTCAATGCATGCCACGACATCGAAATTGCAGCCCCAATGGATCTGTTCCTTTTTCGACAATACTTTAAAGGCATGGAAGACCCAAGATTTTCATTTTGAGGAACATCTCTATCGCAAGTGACATGTTGCTGGGTAAGGTCGTTGGCAGCAAAGGAGTAGATAATACTAGGAGTAAGCTTAAAACCCGAGATATATGCCAAAAGCGCCCGTTGTGGAGCGGTGTCTTATTCAGATAGCGCAAATAGGGGTAGGGAGAAGAAGTAGGAGAAGAAGGAAAAAAAAGGATGGCGAAAACATACCCATGGCTGAAATGCCGACGCTCAGCCTCATGTGAGAATTGGTCATCATAGAACCGTCAAACCTGGCTCAATAGGGAGGGTAGCCTTGTTTTTGGACTATCAATCGCACTACAGGTACGTTTGTCGACACGGCATTGAAATCGAGGTGGCAATGAAGCTCGGAAATGGGACTATGTATGGCTAGTGGCTCTCCTTCATTTGAGATGCTACAGCCATTCGACTTGGCAGAGGGGAACGTTTATGGCAAACAAGTCTTGGCTGTAGTGCTTAGATTGCTGCCGCCTCGGACCCGAAGCAGTCCGAGCCTCTCGCAATAACAGCGACACCCGTCTCGGGTTGCTCCCGCACCGCCCGCCCGTAAAGTCCGAAGATCTTGCAGCACACGTGTTTGTGCAGGAGTGACTCGTGGCCTATGAGAATGCCACTGGAATGGATTCATTGCCATCCTTTGGACCAACCTGGACTCGTCCGCAATAAACGTGAGGCGACGGGGGTTCGATTGACCAGAGCGGAGTCTTCTTTTTCTTTGGTCCTCATCACAACCTTACAGTGCTAGCTGAATACAAGCGCTAAATGGGTTAACACGACTTGCAGGACGGCGAAACATCGCCAAGCACTTCTTTTCATGACGGCGGCAACGGTTTACAACTGCTAGAATAGATATAAATACTCAGGCGCCTGCTCCAGGACTAGATGTCTAGAAGTTCTCTATCACAACGCATCAGGCTTTACCATTCGTTCCTTATTCATCAATCGCTTCAATTCTTTTACCACATTCACTTCTATCACATCACCAAATTCACCATGAAGGGTCTTCTTTCTTTCGGCCTGCTTGCGGCGCCTCTTGTCCAGGGACACTACATCTTCAGTCAGCTTTTCGTCGACGACAAGGCTGCCGGCGGTGACTACACCTACATCCGCAAGAACACCAACACCTACATGCCCTCCTTCACCTCCGAGATCGTGAACTCTCCCGAGCTGCGATGCAACAAGGGCGCTACGTCTGCAACTGCTCAGACTATGACTGTGGCTGCCGGCAGCAAGCTCGGGTTCAAGCTCTGGTTCAACGAGTTCATTGAGCACCCCGGCCCAGGCATGGTCTACATGTCCAAGGCGCCTGGAGATCTTAACAGCTACGACGGCTCGGGAGACTGGTTCAAGGTGTTCGAGAGTGGTCTTTGCGGTAGCAACCCCAGCGTCGACACCGACTGGTGCACCTGGCAGAAGGACCGGATCGAATTCACGCTCCCGGCCGCCACCCCCCCAGGAGACTACCTTGTGCGCGTCGAGCACATCGCCATTCACGAGGGCCACGTCGGCAAGGCCCAGTTCTACATGGAGTGCGCCCACATCAAGGTCACTGGCAACGGCGCCGGTACCCCGGGCCCTCTGGTCAAGATCCCCGGCATGTACAGTTCCACTGACCCCGGTATCGCCTACAACAAGTGGACCGGCAACCCGGCCCCCTATGTCATTCCCGGACCTGCCGTCTGGAACGGCGCCGCCGCCAGCAACAGCAGCCCCGCCCCTGTTGCCGAAGATGCTGCAACCAACACCACCGCTCCCAGCGAGCCTGCTACGAGCGAGCCTGCCGCCGCCAACCCTCCTGCGAACGCTCCTCCCTCGAGCTCCGGTGCTTCTCTCTACGGCCAGTGCGGCGGCCAGGGATGGTCCGGCGCAACCACTTGCGCGCAGGGATCCTGCCAGCAGATCAACCAGTACTACAGCCAGTGCGCTTAAAGGGCTCGAGGCCCCATCTCGCTCCAGTCACGAAGAGTCTCTAGCAGACTTATGACACATTTCAGACCCTTCACCATTTTAGGCTGCAAGCGGCTTTGGATACATACATTTACATTCAGCTATACATACTTAGGACTTCTTGTTACTATGCTACTTAGATTCAACGTTTATATACCTACGTTTGTCATTTCAACTTCTGCCTGTGACTTGTGAGGTTTTCCGTGTGATTACGCAGGGCATCAAGAGTGCCCGTGTTCGGTCCGTGGCCCCTATTCGGAGTCGGAAATTGCAAGCTCCTGTGTAGGTAAGAAAGAGTACGCGCTTGTGCGACCCCAAATAGTTTGTCCTTTGCGTTCCAAGATGAAATCTTTAGGATATGCTGGTATGGAACATCGCTGGGCGTGCATGTTCACTACCTATACCTCACGCCATCAGGACCCCTAACTAAGCGCTCGACTCCTGACATCCATATGCTTTCGGATCTGCTCAGGGGTAGAACGGGAGGGAGCTGCAAAACTGAAACAGGGGCCGGCCATTACCATGCGACCTTTGGTCGCATAGAGATACTGCCAAGTGCAACGTTCATATTATGTGTATTTGGGTCGCGGAGGACGAAACAAAAAGTGGACCGAAACCGAAAACGAGCCATCAGCTAATTGTTGTTACGCTGTTATGAGCCCAAAAAGCGCCACCTTCTGCAAGTAACAAATTTTCCTCATGGTGTGAATGTCGGCGGAACCATTTTGCATCTGACTTAATGACATTAGAGAAGCATCCCCCAAGTGCTTAGCCACTCGAGTAGACTACAACTCCTGGCTACCCTCCTTCGATGCAATCACCGACTTGATGTGCAGCTCGAAGTCGCCAGCCTGCTCAGCAAAGAAGCTGAAAGATGTCAGCTCTTGCCCCTAAGCAAATCCCTTCGAAGTGCTTACCTTCTGATCATAAAGTTGACTCTCTTGATACTGGACAGGTCAAGCGGTGCAGTGTCGTTTAGGACACGGCCGCGGTAAGTGGGCACAAAGTCGGAAATCGGCATGACGACCCGTTCGACAGACCCATCGGTGTGGTTTACTGCAGGAAGCTGGAAGTCGAACTCCCAGCTCACGCCGGACTGCTCCACTCCATTGATGGGCGGTGGAACCGTGTCTTTGAGGTTGAAGGTGTACTTCTTGCCATCGGCGTAGGGGATCTCCAAGGTGATCGTGTCGTAGGCCGAGATGTTGATGCTGGGCCAGTCGTCGACGGTTCTCTGCGATGCGAAGCCGGCGCCACCGAGCGTCGCATAGTCCAAGTTTCCATGGAAGTTCGCAATGGTCTCGGAGAAGGGGTTACTGATGGTACCGGGCTCGATAATGTCGAAAGCCGAATGACTCGCACCGTTACGGACAGTGTCGTCCGAGGCGACCCATTGGCTCTTGTCCCAGGGTGTGAAAAGGCCCGCCGTGGCCAAAGCGCGGAGAGCGACTGGAATTTGCATTTTGGCGGATGAACCGATCGAGGCAACTGATTGATAAATCTAGCCGCAAAAGTGTTGGAACTAGTCGTGGGCAACTGTTCGTTGACCGACCCGAGCGGGCATATTGGCTTTTAAATCTCGGCAGCATCGGGCGTCTCCACTCATGTTTAATTGCCATCGGGTGGCGCCATGTCTTTTTGAAAAGTCGAGTCGGGGCTCCATGCCAAACTCTATTTTGTGCTGGTCAATCATGGGTTGCTGTTCATTTGTGGGGTGTTCAATCAGAATTTGATGCATATACGTAATTGACTAGGAAATACCAGCCCTTTGAAATCCCCAGCACCAATCTTTTCTTAAACGTTTGTTGTACGTTAGCCGAACCTGGAGAAGTGCGGAACGTTTCGCGGGGACGGTAGGTTTCTTAATTCAGTATCAAAATCGTGAGCCATCACTTGGTATTTAGACATTGGAATCTCTTAAATCCCTCAAAGAGGCAGGTCACTTAGATCGGCTCGTTCAAAGTGGGGTTCTCACTTGGGCGGTCAGACATCTTCAAACCACTTTACACTACAAGTGCCCGCCACCCTAGAAAAGAGTTGACGCCGACATGTCAATTATCGGTGACAAAGCTATAGAAGGAGTATATTGGGATCTAGAAACAAGCAAGATTGTCGGCAAGATTGAGGGTTATTTAGGGTGTTAGAGCCAGGTACCTCAAGAGGTATGGAATGAAGGAATGACTGAGGCGCATGACTGCACCCATGCATGTAATGTCCTGCGATTGATTCAGTGGGTTGACATGGGCACTTAGCCTCTTGGCAAGCTACCTGAGCATCAGCACAATGACTTGCCTTCCCGTTTGAGTCTCTGCGTATTCGTATTTCAACGAAAATCGATTGCGGAGAGATCCTAATTTTCCAGCGAAGAAATCGGCTAACAACAAGCCTTCTCGGAATCCATGCCGCAGTGTTCCCGCGACTGAAAGTTGTGGCAAAAAAGAGGGCATTTGGGAGATGGTTCCACTAATAAATCTTGTACAGGAAGTCCGGCGACACACCAGCCATAATTGTGATATATCTGTCCAAAACTAAACCTGGTGGTTTTTAGCTCTTGTTTTGCATGTGGCCTCATCTGGCATCAGCTAACAACCAACGGCAACGTTCCCATCCGGGAAAATGGATTCCGTCAGTCTGGACTAGAGAATGCTTACTGCCGATCTGCTCCGACATCCACAATGCTCGGCCTTGAAGTCTCCCTAGGCAGCTACCGCCGCCAACAATGGCCAAGTTATAAAGACCGACAGACGCACCAACTCCCATATATCAAGACAAACGTATCCGCACACCCGTGCTTGCACATCCTTTCCTCCTACCATTTAGAACATGACGACTGACACTAAGAAAACCCCTTTTACTATTGAGGCGGACCCAGGCACCGACATCTGGCGGAAGCCTGGCCACAACGCGTGGAACAGTACGTAAATTATCCAACCCCCGCCAACTCGTAGTGTGTGTGTACTTACGCTCTCCCTAGTCCCGACCGCCCACACTAGCTCTGGACCCCTCAAAGACTTCCTCTCAGTCCGCGCAACATTTGCGGCGGACTGGACGAGCCCCTACGACCAGTCCGGCGTGCTACTCGTGCCGCGCCGGGGCTCCGAGGCCGCTGCGCCGGGTAGCAAGTGGGTCAAGACGGGCGTCGAGCTCTACGACGGCCGGCCGCACCTGAGCACCGTCACCTGCGACCGCTACGCCGACTGGGGCCTCTACCCGCTGACCACCACGACGGCAGCAGCGCCCAGCGGCGCGCCGTCGGCAGTCGAGAGCGTGACAATCGAGGTCTTCCGGGACGGCGGCGCGGGCGGCAAGAACGCCTGGGTGCACCGTCTCGTGCTCGACGAGGACGGAAGCGTGAAGGAGAGGGTGCCGCTGCGGAAGATTTGCTGGATTTTTGCGGATGAGGACGAGGGCGATTGGGTCTTGGACGTCGGTCCCTTGGCTGCGAGACCGGACAAGACCGCAAAGGATGCGTTGAAGGTCGAGTTCAGCGAGTTCAAGGTGCAGTGGATTCAGTAGACGGTTCTCGCGTTGATGTCTCGGTAGAAAACACCACATGTCAATTACATTCAAGATGATTTCTTCGCGTGAAATGTTTCCAAACGTCAGGAGCACCTTCAGCAACAAACCATCACTTCGATCCAATGGTTCCCCATCGTCAGAAAAGGCACAGGTCCGGTACCTCACTCAAAGTCGACTGGTATCAGCAGAAGGCGTCTGCATGTATATCCTCCACGGACTCAATCCTCCTTCAATCACAGTACTCCCTCATCCTCGGATGATCTCCGTTCTCGGCGCACGCAGCAACAAGTCCGAGGTCATACTGCTTGACCGCATAGATCCCCGATACCAAGCCCGTGACCAAGCTGAAGAACCCGAAAATGAACGCCCAGATGGCGATCCAGAGTTGGTGCCGCACATAAAGCCATACAGACACTATTAAGACACCACCTCAACGTCGGCACATTCGATACATGATACGATTCTGTATATTTATCGATCACCTTGCTATGACTACCTACTGCAGCAGTAATAATTCAACAGCTCGAACCTTGTAGTTTGTCATAGCCGCTAAAATGATGCTTAGTTTTCGTGATTACCAACTTTAACACCCAAAGATGAGCTCATGGCTCGACAAGAAGAAGTATGCTCTTGTACACAACTTAACCTAGACAGGTCTGTCCCGCCTGCCAAGATCATGTCTCCCAAAGTAGGGCTTACCGAGTCCCCTCTTCCCAAAACCGGTGTTCCTTTGGGTCCTTCCTAGAGAAACAAAGGGTTCGTAAGCATATGGGAGAAAAATACAAATGCTGTTGGAAAAGTAAGATGTCTTTTGGCCAAGCCGAATTTAGGCGAAGCCAAGGAATGTTTTGACGGCCGGGTTGTTTCTCGGATTGCTAGAATTGGATCGGATAATATGTGATTCCGGTTGGGAATGTTGAAGAAAAAATCGTTCGATCGTGGTTCCCCAGCACTTAAGTTTGCCCCTGAGCCTTTTCACGGGCATGGCCGTGACCTTTGCGGTAACGACGACTTCGTCCTTTTTCACTGTTTACTTTATCACAATCACGGTCTTCTCCTCCTAATTGTATCTTCACTTTGTTCGGAAGTTGGACTGTAGGACCAGAGGCCTCAGACGCCGCGGAGGTAGAGGCAACGCCACTCTTGTCATCTCTAGCAACGTCCACACTACCTGTATTGGCGTTGCCACATTTCAAGGCTTGGGAAGTGTTTTTGGTTTGGTGCTTGTTGGGCAAAGGTAAGGTAATGATGTCGGAAGTCGGCTTTTCAGTGTTCCGCGCAGTAGCTGAAGCTTGACGGCTCTTCTTCTTTTTGGGTTTGCTCGGATTCTGACTCGAGTCCTGACGATCTTTTCCGGCAATCTGCTGTGGTGGCGGTTGCTGAGCATAGATCTTTTGAGTCTTGGGCGTACAAGACTGACGGGGCTGAATGACCTGATTTGATCGACCTTCGTTGTCCTGTAACTGGCCCCGGTGCTGATGGTGGACAGCATGCTTGCCTTGCTTCTTCAGGTAGCCAAGAGTATCATTCGTACCATTGGATACTTGCACACGAATGCTACTGATCATCGAATCCATCTGTAAAGGCCGTTCGAAGGCTTGCGCTTGGAGATTAAGATCAACATTGGACCGATCGGTGGCTTCGTTCGAGGGCAGCGTCAACTTTGTGGCCACAGACGATTGTAGATCGTAGTTCGGTAAAAGGCTTCTATCGTCAGTCCGAGGAACTTTGTCACCTTTCGGATCGACTTTGAGAGTTTTGGGCCGACTACCATGGTTCATCGTAGTGGTCGACCGTTGACGGTAGCCATCACGAGAAAGACGATGTTCGCCAGCGCCGATCCCACGACCGCGACCGCGACCGTGGCCACGGCCACGGCCAGATCCTCGGATATGGATATTGTCATGACCGAGTTCGCCTCCATAGGCAGGGAGCTGATTGTATGAGTGAACGGTGGAAGCCTGGTGGAACGTTGTTACGCCTAGAACAACACTGTCAAGCTGATGTCCCAGGTTACGAGCATTTCGAGCGCTGCGCTTAACAGCACGGACAGAATTGTGCAAGCGTCTGACACGGATGCGTCTATCCTGTGGATTCTCAACCCAGGGGAAGATGTCTTTCTGGTCCTCAAACGGGCACATATTGACAACACGCTTAAATCTCCGTTGCTTTTGGACGCGAGTAACCGATTCGTAGCAAAACTGGTCGGTGGCAAAGATGCCCTTGGCATGGGAGAATTGCTCAGTCTCGCTGTGTCCGTGGCGGTCCTGGTCGCATTCAGCAATAAAATCGTCGCTCATGAGATACAAGAATCGGTCTCTGATGTCAGGTGTATTCAGATTAATCCAGTGGAAAGACTCAGTCAGGGCGTTCCTGAGGTATTTCTCATCATCGTGACCCATGGACAGAATCTCGAACGTATCTGTATAGTCGAAGACGAACTCGGCATGATACAAAACGTCCATGTCGCGCGCTTCCTGCTTGAGATTGCCCCAAGATACGTGTGTGATGTTGAGGAGGCTAAGAAACATCTGTCTGAGGATGCAGAGAAGGGAACGGTGTAGAAAGCGATCGGCGAGTGTGACGACCTCAGCCAACTCTCGCAGCTTCAGCTTTGGGATCTCCAGGTGAGCCTTTCGGAAGGGTTCCTCTTGGATAGCCTCGATTAGGGATCTGAAGTAGTCGACGGGTACAACTCGGATGCCACGAAATATTATTTCGAAGAACCAGGAATGCGTGAGGTTAAGGTAAAGTTCGAGGGCGTCGGGGCAGATGTCTTGGGCGAAAGTGATTTCTTGGCTGTAGGCCTCTTTGAAAAAGCCAAACAAGCAGCTGTCAAAGTACATGGAACCAGCGGTGATGACATCTCGGAAGACGATGAAAACCACGTCGTCGCAGTGGATATGGACGAACTCGTCGGTGTCGCTGGCTTGTCTTAGTTTTTGACTCAATAGACATGGCAAAGATGGTGTGACTTACAGTTCAACGACTTTGGGCCTGTTCTCACGTCTGGCTCTTGCGTTGACGATCCGTGAGAGGTTGGTTGCGTCGGGTCGAAAGTCGCGAGTTCTGATCATTGTGTTTCAAACTGGGCTACGCGATGGAGTTCGGGGGGGGGGGGGGGGGACGCGTAGGTCGGTAGGTATGCCAGAAATAGAAGCTCTTTGGGAGAGGTCATCCGAAGACTGCTCGAGACATGGAGGTTGGGTGACTGGATTGAAACTTGTGTGTTTGTGCTGTTTTCGGTTTGCGAAATGAAAGAGGCGAAGGAAAAATGGAGTTTGTGGACGAGGGTAGAAGTTGCGCCAGCAAAAGGAAAGGCTCAGAGAGGCTGTTCTTTCCTGTTTGGCAGGCAAAATTCAGGCTCGTCTTTGAAGGCCACGGATGCCAGGCCACAATGCGTCTGAGTGAATCTCAATTGCGGCTTTTGATCGTACCTAGCCACAGGGGGCCGGATGGATGGCACAAATCATCTAACGTTCAAGCAGGTTCGGAGCAACAGCGGAACAGCCTCCGCTTTGGTCCCACTTGTCCCCGTGATGACCTCCGGCTCGTTCCGGGCACTTGTCAGCACGGTGAAGAAAGCAGAGCAGCAAGCAAATATGTCAAAACATGAGGGAACAAGAAAAGAAAAGCTCAAACAATCAGATAATATTAACTATTTTACCTGGGGTCTCATGCTGCCTGCGTCTTGAAAGCCACCCCGGGCAGAACCAGGAGGAGCATTGTATTCCTTCTGCCTTATTATACATACAACTTGCCAAGTGGAAGCAGTAGGCAATTAATGAGTTTCCATGACATTCCCAACAATTATCACGCAGATTCAATCACCCTATAATCTGCTGTGCGCTTCTCATGACAATCCGAAATACAGGAATTGATCACAGCCTGCAATTTGGTGACAACCAAACCTGCCTTGTACTGTGTAAATGTGTGTGTGATGATGTAATGACACAGTGCAAACATCACTAGATCCGGCAGCAAACGGAATCGTGGTTTCCAATTTCCCATTTCCTCCCGCCCTCAAGGGTCGATGAAGAAAGCCTACACGTAGCAGGGAAGGATTTCTCTGCCCTTCTTCCATATTCTCCTTCATTCTCATAGGGTCTAACAAGAAACAACAACCCGATCCGAATCTTTAGCTCCACCGCATGTAGGAACCCCGCGATTGGATTCCTTCCACAAACATCATCTGTAGAAAACCCTTCCAGGTCTAACGACTTCCACCATCACCAGTCGGAATTGTACGGCTACTTGTATCGAGCCTTCCTCTCTTCGACAATTCCACACTTCTTACTCAAGAGGCCCCTATACGTATCGGCGTCGCAGCAATCCGAGTCACTCTTCCAGCCACTGAGCCACTGAGTCACTCCGACTTTTCTGCCTTGACACTCCCGCATCAGCCAACGCTGCTTCATCCACCATCCAGGGTTTCCGGCAAACTTCATTCCATAGACACTCACCATTATTACCGTATTTCCATGCCAATTCTTGCAGCAAAATAACGTTTCGCAGAGTTTTCTTTTGCCCACTTGCACAACAGGCCAGCCTTGACTTGGATGCCGCAAAACTGGGGTATGTGAGGAGACCAGTACATGGCCTATTAAGCTAACTTCATGAAGCCCACGATTGAACCACCTTCACACAAGCCTGTAGCCTAGCTTTGCACATCATGGGAGGCTGCGCCTTTGCCCATCACGGTCTCGATACTCCACGCATGCCGCCCGAGATCTACGAGCATGTCAAAGCCAAGTGCACTGCTGCCTTGCGGGAGCTATACATATGCGTTGCAAGCCCTATCGAGGGACCCGAGAAGGAAGATTTTGGCGATATTGACATCGTCCTCACTTGGGAGAAGGCCCCTTTACAGGCTAGATCCATAACGAAACCTACTTCAGCGGCAGCGGACGACAGAGCCGACGTCGAGAGCCAAGAATCTGGCGACGAGGAATGCGTTGGCACCGACGATGAAGAGGGACAGGAGCGATCACCGGCTCACTCAACCATGTCTCCGGAAGAGGCACGCCGAGCCATTGGGGCTGCCCTGGGAGCCGAGTATACCATGTTTAGTAAGGTCGGCGGCCACTACGCCATCCCATGGCCAGCTTCCGAATCCCCAATTGAAACAGACGAGGTCCAAACAGACGAGGAGCCCAAGCGATACATTCAGATTGACATTACAATTTGCGAATCCTTGCAGCAAATGCAATGGAACCTGTTCAAGAATGCTCATGGCGATCTATGGAGCATCCTCGGTTCCATCATCAAGCCGTACATGCTCACAGCAGACGGCCATGCCCTCTTCTTGCGGAACCCTGACATTGAAAGCTTTGAAAAATACAAAAGCTTGGCCAGGCTCCGTCTGACCAGAGACCCGGCCGAGATTCTTCTGTTCCTTGGTCTCGACGTCGCCAGATACTCCGAGCCCTTTGCGACCCGTCAAGAGATGTACGAGTACGCCGCCAGCTGCCGTCTCTTCCGCGTCCATCCCGACGCAGAATATGACGAGTCAGGGCAGCTAGAGTCGGCCGGCTCGCCTATTTCAACAGCTCCAACCTTGCTGTCAACTGGACCAGACCCCACGAAGTCGCCGATCTCGAAGAATCCCATGATGCCAACGACCGTGCCGGGACTAGAACCTTCTGACGAGTCAGAACCAGCCAGGAAGAAGCTGAAGGCTAAGGACAGGAAGCGCCTCAAGACTCGGTTGGCATTCCGTCAGTGGCATGAAGAATTTGTCCCTCGTTGCCGGCAAGAAGGCCGCTTTCTTGGAGAGCCGTTCACTTGGTTGAACGTTACGGAGGACGCTTTTGACCGTTTCTGCATTCGGCCATGGTACAAGCGTGTCCATCTTGATGTCGTTCGCAGCAGAAGCGAGGACAGAGTTTTGGCAGACGTCCTCAAGACGATCGACAATATCGTTCCCGCCGACCCTGCCGATCCTAAGAGATGCCAGTTCCGCGGGGGGCTGAAAAAGGCCCTCAAGAAAATCATTTTCCAAGGGGATAAAAGCTATGGCGTGGCGCCCGAGAGGGAGCTGAGAGATGGTTTGGGGTTGATGATTAAGGACGAGATCGACAGGTTTGTGAGCAACAAGTGGAAGGAGGTTGGGGACGCAGCTATGGAGAGGAATCAAAAAAGATTCAAGGAGCATTGCCGTGGGAAGGGAAAAGCACGACAGGATTAAAGGCACAGACCTGTTCAACATAGAAAGCAGCAGGTATTCTGCCCCATAGACGGGGGAACGACATTCCATACTGAGCAGATTGGAAACTCAATCGCCATCGTCTTCGAACCCAAGAGAGCGAAATCACCCTTTGCACATCCGGTATTCAGCTCCTGAGATGTCTGAAAGTACAGCTACCACGAGGAGCTTCCAGTGCCTCTTCTTCCCCCTAACATATGTCTTCTCGAGGTAGCCAAAGGATAGTTCGGCAAGGGCTCCTACGCTATGAGAGAGCAGCACAGATGAGCTTTCTAAAGATGGCTTGATGACCCCCTGATACCCTCGCATTCGAGAAGGGTCTCTTGCAATGTAGATTTCATTGTGCAGCAAGGTTCCGCAGCCCTGTGTACGTGTTGAGGCCATGTGATCCTCAGCCTCCATCGCTCGATCGACAACACGATGGCATCATTGCCCCTTCAGCTGTCCCCCCGCTTCACCCTACCCCCTTTCAGGCCCGAAACTGACGAGGGAAAATCGCCACGAAGCCCTCACGATAAACTCACAGAGGGTCATTGCTAGGCTTTTACCCTTCCTCTCTCCTTCCTCCTTCTTCTTTCCATTCTTTCAAGCTCACATCACCTTGTCTCCTTTCGCCCAGGAGATCCAGCTACGCGACTATCGTCACAAAGGTAAAGAAAGCCCCCCTAATTCTCCAGGATTCCATCCTTTTGCCTCGAACGCATTGCTCGTTTTATACACCGGAACAAGTGACTGACCTTTTTGTCCTCAGATCATCGAGCTCTTTGCGCCAAGTAGCAGAAACAAACACCCCAAGTGAGTGCTTCGTCTCCGGGCTTCCTCGGGGCTCCCTTGCCTATCCGGCCTTGTGTACTGATGGAACAAGACCAGCCTTTCGTCGATGACGCCGCAGGAAACGATGTCTCACCGCCCGACCTACGACGCTGAGGTCAGTGTACTCAATCCTCAGTCCCCTCAAACCAAGTACCTAACATGGGTTCAGCAGGACGACGACGGCTCCTCCTCCTCCGAGGAGCGCGGCCGCCCCCGCCTCCGCGGCGACGGCAACCTCACTCTCGACCAGCAGCAGCAGCAGCAGGATCAGACTGCCGTCGGCTCCCCTACCGCCTCCTCCGGCCGTGTCTCCCCCGACGCCGACCCCGGTGGTCTTTTCGCAGCCGCCCCATCCATCCACCGCTCGCGCTCACGCAGCGTCGTGCCGTCCCTCCCGATCCCCATCCCGGGCGCCGCCGGTAGCAGACGCGCAGCCTTCCGCAGCGCCGAGCTCGCTGAGCGACTTGCCGCCGCCGGAGACTCCGACAGTGGCACCGACAGCCGAGGAGGATCCCCAATCGGCCGTCTGCCCTAGGAGGGCCCGCGCCGCTGGACTGTCTCCAACGTCTCCCGCGCCGGGGGCTTCTCCCCCGCCGAGCTGAGCGCGCAGGCCACCCGTCTGCACCGGGGCATCGGTGTCGGACCGTCTTGGCTCGTAAGAGGAACCCGACCTCTCCCCTCCCCCACACTTCCACATCATCGCGCAAGGGGTCTCGGTATTCTAACCCGTCGAACGACGGAACAACAGGACCCCGCCGGCCGCCTCCACCAGCTACCTGCCGGCACCCGCCTGCCGTCGCCGCCCCCCCTCACCGAGGAGCAGCTCGAGAGGGCCAGGACCCTCGGCGCACAGCCCGTCCCCCCGTACCCCCTGCGGCCCCTCTCCCCCGGCTCGATGCCCGTGTACGGCCCCATCACCTACGCGGAGTACATGCGGAGGGTGGAGGAGCGGGCGAACGAGTACAGAGCCTTTTAAGCTGGCAAGAGGCCGCAAAGCTTGGGCTCCTCGTATATACCACGTCGTCGACAGCGAGGCAGTGGGAGATCTCTGCGCTTCGTATATGCTCCCCAGAAGGTGCGGACATCGGCTGCTCTTGTCGTATCGGAGGAAATTCAACATGAAGACACGGAGGATCTCACGAGTTACTAAGACTTGGGCATTGTGTTTTTCTTTTCTTTCTTTTCTTTTGGGTTTTGCTTGAGAGCTTGGTTCCACTTCAAAGCATATGGCGAGAAGAGCACCATTCGTCAGGGGGAGGAGGGCTCCTGTCGCAATCGTCGACGGTGCCTCTTGGGATAATCAAACAGACAGAGACTTCTATTCAAGACCAATACCAAACAGACTAGCTATAGTACGGATTGGACCCGGTTAAGAGCCCATAATGCCGGTATTCAAGCCAGCCATTCTCACTATTGGGTAAAAAAGTAAATGAAGCGCCTGTGGGCTCACCGACCTCGGGGGTGGTCGGCGAGCTGCCTATGCCACCAAGCCCGATTTCCCACGCTACGGCCAATACTTTAGCTTAGAGTCTCCCCTCGATGGGAAGCAAGGGGTCTAGTCCCCCCCCCCCCAGACTCAGGATGCAAGGAGTCGCCCCGCAGTCACTTTGCCAGATCAGCGGCAAGGTACGGATTTTCGGACAAGGCTTCTCCCCTGGGTAGGATAAGATTAGGTAGAAATAGCATTTCCGGAACCCCAAGCCGTCTTCCTGGCCAACCACCGCTCCACGTAGTAAGTATACCGTTGGCATGAAGCGAAGCGGTCCAGGAACACAGTTAGGTTCTCTTCGCAAGCTCGCGGTGCTGAGACACCTCCCTCCTTCGCAAGAAGCGACCGGTAAGACATTGCCCACAGTCATTGATGTAGATAGATTTCGGTCTACACGCCGGAGCGTCTTGCCCGCAACGCGGCGGACGGGCAGACAGAAGACACCGGCTATCGCGGTCCCACCTCGCTTCACCATGTCATTACCCCAGCTCGAGCACACGTAGCGTTAAGAGCGGCCTGTGACGAGGTTCCGAGTTGAAACCGTCCATTAGTTCCGTGATTCCCTGTCTCAAAACACTGAGGACCATAGGCTTCCAAACCCCGGGGTGGTACAAAGGCCACGCCCCAAAGCTTCGCCAGCCCTTGGGCGAACCTCGCCCTGGCGAGGGGCGCTCTTCCAAGCCCCCTCCCCGACACATGATTCTGATCACGGGATCATGCCCGGCCCGAGATTGCTATGCAATTGCATGCCTCCGTGGACCCTGGCATGTGGTGTCTTAAACACAGCTCATCTAGTTGATCCATCAGCCCTAGGAAAAGGGGGGCGCCCACCACCACTGGACAGATCCCCACGTAGGCGTTCTCGCACATCTTCTCTGCGACGGGTAAATGAACCAGACTGGAGAGAGGGGAATCAGTCTTATCATGAAAAGCGGCCGCTCAGGGATGAATCCAACCTGCAGGGAAGCCGCACCAACGATAGCTTCACGAATTGCAGGCTGCTTGCCCCGCTGGTTGAATGTGTTGATTATTAGATTTAGCTGTCTTTAGTAGCTTAAATTCTTCCTGTCTCACCGCGGTTTTACTAGGAAGTCGCGGCGACTGACACATTCTCAGCACGTTAAGCTCAATTCCTATCAACATTGACACTCATGTATTCATCATGTTATTTTCCTCACATGTCAACACCTGTGCGACCCACGAGAGCGTTGTGAAAGTGGATGTAGGTCGAACATGTATGGGAAAAGTCAGATTGAGCTCATCAAACCCCAACATTTTGCTAGCGACGCGGCGCCAGTGAGCAGAGGTGCAACAGGATGCCCTTGCGCTCCAGCCAGGGGTGCAGGATGATATTGCTTTTCGTGCCATTGAGATCAAGCGGTGAGACAGATATGTCACTGCTGGGGCGGCTAGGCCCCGACTGTGCAGCGGTATGCCTCCTGGCACCCAAGGCTCGGGCAAAGCGAGCTAAAATGCCTGGTGGCCATAACATTTTCAGTCTTTCTTATGACGAACGTTCACGGCGCCCGTTTCTGGTGCTGAGGCTTGCAGTCGGCGGAAGGCCGGAAGCCACCCGGCTGAGGCTAAATCCAAGCTCTGACGGCCCCAACAGTTTGGTGTGTGGTTGCAATTGGCTCATGGCGCCTACTATTAATCAAACTGTGCCATCAATGGACTCAATACTCGAGGTTCTAAAAGTGGCTGGAATGTTTTAGAGCAGCGGTCAACCTGCCGCTATCCATCTGGACAGGCCACGAAGCAAGGTGACAATCTTTGTAGGCGCATTCCGCTCCCCGTTCCGGCGGACTTCAAGGTAATTGGATCCATGGAGCCAACCCTCAAGTGCCTTGCATATTTACAGGGATATGCCATGCACTGAGAACCGGCGATCTGCGCCACGCTCCCTAATTGGTGCAGCAGCCTGCCTACCAACCTGGGTTTGGAGTGATGATGGGTCTGAGACTCTGTTACTCTTTTGGCCTTCAAGCCAACCTCCCATTTAGCTGTCAATAGATGTTTGGGCTTCGAAAAGGCATATCAGGTTGCCCCGGTAGTCGATGTGAGACTGTGACTCAGGGCCATCTGCAGGTAGGCAGAGATGAGGCGGCCTGATGTTGTACGAGCAACCGCAGAGAAGTGTTAAGAATCGATTGGTACGCCGACTGCTCACGGGAACAGATCGTTGTGCTGCGGGTGCATCGTGACTAGGCAGACGTAAGCTTTATGCAATTCATTTGCTCGGTGAAGATGAGGTATGGTGCGCATATGCAAGCCAGGGAGCAGCCTTGGGGCTCTTGGTAGTCCATTCCATCTTATCTCAGCACAGATGCGCCTAGCCAGTCTTCCCACAACCACCGTAATCAGCAGTAGCCTCTTGGACACAGCCCATCAAGACAGGACACCACAATGAAGCAACTCGTATTGTTCTCATGGCGAGGCCAATGACATTATCCGCGTGCAGCCTCGACTTCTTCACGATGCCGGTCCCGTTGGCCAGGACGATGGGTGATATCCGGTGAGCGCCTAGAGGCAGGCAGCAAGGCGGCTCCATGGCATGCAAGATACCCGTACGCATGTGCAGCATGGGTTACATGCCTGGGTCGCAAGGCATCCGAGTACGTTTGTCGTTCTGTCCTGGTGTAGTAGGTAGGGATATCTGTATTCTGCAACCATCAGCCGG